ATAGGACACCTGTCTTGCACAAGACTATCCTGGGCTTGATCGCTTGATCCCTGGCACCCATATGGCTCCCTGAGCCCGCTAGGAGTGATCTGTAAACTCAGCCAGGTTCAGCCCTGAGCACAGTCGGATATGTCCTCCCCCAGGAAACCCCACCCCCCAAAAAGAAATTTACTGAGTATATATCAGTTCAAGTAATAGCACAGGGGGCTGTCTGGGATGTGGCAAAAGTGAAGCTGAGTGCTCAATCTCAATGGCACTTACAGGTGCCTAAAGCAATTCTGATAGATCTGCTGCTTATGATCCCTGGAAATTTCTTAGCCTTACCGCAGCCAGTTTGAGTTCGTGTGAGCATTGCAAACTGAGAGGGTAACTCCAGGCAAGCACTATGACTATAAAGATATTTGACCATGAAGTGTGTGAGGCCTTCCCCCAGTACTACAACCAAAATGTGTGGGGATCATAACGAGTATGAGTGCAACCCCTGGTTATTGCAACAACAGAGGGAAAGGGAAAAGGGAAGATTTTTCAAAAGTATCAGTGCTCATTTTATATCATCCTCCCCGCCCACTCCCACAAAACAGGAAACACAAAGTAATACAAAGTTCAGGAAGCACAGGAATCAAAGGAGGAGATAGCAGAACTGCAGCCAAAGTCCAGTCCCCAAACAAGTCTAGTTAGGGAACTTCTGTTGATCCCATTTTTTCAGCTTGTCTGCTCATCACTATTTGGGGTTCACTATTCTCTGGGTCACTATTTTCTGGGTGGAAAAAGGCAACCTATAAATTCCTCTTAAACTACCTTTCCCCTAACAGTGAAAAGTTGTTCAATCTACAGAGTCAAGACAAAATAAATCAGAACCAGAAAAGTGAGGGAGTTTTTCTTGTTGGCTCTATTAGTCTTTCAATTCCACTTTTTTTTGTGATGCCAAATTTGTCTTTATTTTTTTTTTAAATTTTTATTAGTGAAACACCCCGAGGTACAGTTGTAGACTTACAAATTTTTGTACTTGGGTTTCAGTTACACAATGACTGAGTACCCATCCGTCCACCAGTGCCCATTCCCCACCTCCAATGCTCCCAGCATCCCTCGCACCCCCCACCCCTGTGGCAGGGCATTCCCTTTTATTCTCTCTCTCCTTTTGGATGCTGTGGTTTGCAAAAGAGGCACTGAGTGGCTATCATGTTCGGTCTCTAGTCTATTTTCAGCATGCATCTCTCACCCTGGGAGGGTCCTCCCAATACCCTTTACTTGGTATTCTCCTCTCTATCTGAGCTGCCTTCTCCCTCAGCACGTGCGGCTGGCCTCCAAGCCATGGAATGAACCTCCTGGTACTAATCTCGGCTATTCTTGGGTGATAGTCTCCCAATTTGTTACTTTTCAATTCCACTTTCATTCCTATCTTTTGTCCTTTTCAAATATCCAATCTTGTCTGGTGCTTTCAAGTTTTTTGTTATTAAAATAAATACTTTAATTAAAATGTTTTAAATTTTATTTAAACACCATGGTTTACAATGTTGTTCATAAAACAATTGTTCTGAGCATTCAATGATCCAACACCAATCCCACCACCAGTGTGACTTTCCCTCCACCCACCCCCAGGCCTGCTCCCTTAGAAGGCACAAAACACAAAACAAACAAACAAACATTGTCCGTCCTCCTGTTGTTCATTGATTTGCTCAAGCGGGCCCAGTAACATCTCCATTTTGAGACTTGTTGTTACTGTGTTTGGCATATTGACTATATGCGGGTGAGATACTCTCGGTAGCTTGCTGGCTTGCTGGCTTGCTGGGCTCTCCAAGAGCTCTCCAAGAGGGGCGGAGGAATCGAACCCAGCTCGACCGGGCCTGTTGTGCGCAAGGCAAATGCCCTACCACTGTGCTATTGCTCCAGCCCAGGGTTGACTAAATTGTTTATTGCTAGTTTAGTGTTATTTATCTTCCCACCTAATTTGTCAGTAATGTTGAATTTGGAGGAAGCCCATGGTGGCCGCATATATAGCCCTGTGGGTCAGAAACTCCAGGATCTGTAGAAGTGGGCTCATGAATTTACATGGCTTCTCGACATTGTGGGGTGTGAGTTGGCCTACTGGGGCATCCACACACCCCCACTCCCACCCCATGTAACCCTGGCTTGCATCTCTTCTGAGATTAGTTGTGACTGGGGAGCTCAGTTACCTCATTACCAGATCAGTTGGTATTGAACCTGGAACTGAGGCCTACAAAATTAACCCAGGGGAGAACTTGAAAGGGATGTAAGCAAAGAAAAGTCAACAACCAAATCAGGAGTAGAAGGAAATTTCCTCAATTTGATAGAGCATCTTGCCAGGAACAGCATTTGATCCAAGATGCTTATAGGCATTCTCACAAGGAGTGAGGCTAGCACCATGTAGTCCCGGGTGTAGTCTCAGGAGCATCTCCTGGAGCAATCCCCAAACACGGAGTGGGCATGATTGAAATAGTGCCCTTCCTGCTACCACCTGGAAGTCTTCTACCGTAATTCCCTGCAAGGGAGTGGAGTGGCCCTTAGTGTCCTCCCCAAACACACAGTAGTTTGCCTCCCAGATAGACCCCTCTTTCAGTTTTTTCAAAGTGAACCTATACAAAATCAAACCCCAAGTCAAACTAAGTGAGTACATCCAAGGTTTTTTTTATATATTTACAGTAAATGTTGAGTTAAAATGCTTGCCAATTCAGTAGATGTAAAATTTCTATATTCTTATTTACTTTTGTTTAAATTTTATATTTCCTGGGATAGTAAAGGCCCTCCCATTGATCATCGATTTGCTCGAGCGGGCCCAGTAACGTCTCCATTGGAGACTTTGTTGTTACTGTGTTTGGCAAATTGAATAGTCACGGGGAGCTTGCCAGGCTCTGCCGTGTGGGCGATACTCTCGGTAGCTTGCCGGGCTCTCCGAGAGGGGCGGAGGAATCGAACTCGGGTCGGCCATGTTGGCTGCGTGCAAGGCTGCAAGGCAAACGCCCTACCACTGTGCTATCGCTCCAGCCCTTCCTGGGATAGTTAAAATTTTTTTTTTTTTTATCTAATAGCCCTGTTTACCAGGGCTGTTGATTTCTGCTTCCCTAGCAGTACTTACATTTTAATAGGAAACAAAAGCATCATTACAAAGATGAGAATGCAACGGTGAATTTTAGGTTGTCAAAGTAAAAATGAGTCAATGTGTATAAAATTTGATCTAAATCCAGTATCCTCATATTTTGGTTGTACAAGCAAAACAATATTATCAAGTTGAACCCAGGTCAAGAGAAGTCTGGAAGGCTTTTTTATGGTTTTATTTTGGCGGGGGTGGGGGGTGGGGGTGGGGGGAGGGGGGTGTCTCTGCTGACGGTGCCCAGATCTGAGTTCAGGGTTCCATCTAAGGTTTTCAGGACAATATTGGGTGCAGGGGATTGAACCCAAGTAAGTCACATGCTAGTGTCTTACCCGCAGTATTATCTTGCTAGCCGCTCCCGCCGGCCCCCCCTCTTTAAAAAAAAAGGATTTATTCCAATGTATCTCCTCTGTTGCTCATTTTAAATTTGCTGTTATAATGCCAGGGATAGGAGGACTTCATTTTCAGTATATTTGCATAGGAGTACAGAGAAAGGCTTAAGATGCTGTATGGCACTGCAAGCAGATTTAGGTAGTTCAAATAAAAGGATTAAGAGCTTTTAGCCCTGAGGGTTTCTTCTGCATCCTATCCACTCACCCTCCCAACAAAACTGCCCAGAGCTGTATTGAGCCACCTACAGTTCCTTTTCTTTTTCAAATGGAGTTTAGCCCTTCAGCACAGATTACCACCTAACTGGAACTAACACACCACAGCTGTAGATGGCGGCGGAGGGGCAAGGGGTGTACAAGAGAAAATCCAGAATTCATCCCATGCAAAAACGGGATTTACCCCTTTCCTACTGAGCTGCTCAGTTGCGTTGGGGGAGTCAACTGGCTTGCGCCGTGGTGTGGGGTGCTCAATTCTCCACCAGGGTCCAAAGCTGCCGTCAACCCAAGATAAAGAAGATCCTTCCTCTACCACCTCGAAATCCTTTCAGGCAGCTGACATCTCTAAACATCCCAGTACCAACCCTCAGGGAGAAAGCGCAGCTCTCAGAAGTATTAAACGGGCTATGCATTGCAGCTCGGATCGCAAATTCAAGTGGGAATCAAATGCGACTCTGACCCGATGAGGGGGTCTTTGACCGACCAAGCTCTGTGGGGGGGGGAGGGGGCTAATAGTTGTGGGCCCGCACAAATGACGAGGGGCTTCGGGATCGGATTTATTACCCACGTCTATGCCCACGTTTCGAGGTGAGGGTGGTCATGCTTGAGCAACGTCGCGAGGCAAAAAATGCATTCTCTGAAGCAGAGCGGCCAGACAAGCCCCAACCGCCCCGGGATGTTGCAGGGAGAAACCCTCTGGGGACGGAAGAGAGGGTCCGACGCCACTCGACAAGCGACGTAGGTCGTGGCCATCTTTCCCTCCTCCCTAGCGCCTTTGGCACGTTTTTCTAGAAAAGCAGAAAAGCAACCCTCCCCGCCCCCTTCCTAGTTTCTAGTTAGGCGTCCGACGAAGTGGGCGCCTCCTGGCGTAGGGAAAAATCGCTGGGATGCGCGGTCGCAGCCGCTTTTCATTTCAGGACCGATGCTAGACTTTTCCTCAGAGTGAGGTTGTTATGATTATTATCATTTTTTTTTCTGGTCTGACTCAACCCCATAGGAAAAATGAATACCACAAAAAATGGGAGGGTGAAAAGATCAGAAGGCTCTGCGCCCAGCTAGGAAAATGACGCCAGCGACTCGCATCGCAGGCCCAGGCGACCTCACGGGCAGACAAATACACCCCGCCCCCCGCACCGGGTACCGCCAGCCCCGCCGAGGATGGGGCCGGAAGGCGGAGCCGCCGAACTTTCGCGCGAGACTCCTTACGCGACTTCCCAGGAAGCCTCAGGCAACATCTTCCAGGCGGCCGGGCGGGATTAGGGCGGGAGGGTGGGCGGGGCTTGTGCGGATATTTAGTGGCCCGGAGGCCCCGCCCCAAATCGGAAGTGACGGAGACGAGCTTGCGCGTCGGAGCTACCTCTATGGTTTTCCTCCCGTTCTCGAGTCGGGAGATGGCCGCTGTGTAGTTAACAACGGAGCTAACTCCTGGGGACCGTCCTTCGGCTTGACAGGTAGGGCGCCGGCTGCGTTCGAACCACTCAGAGGGCAGTGAACGCTGAAGACGGAACGAATCTTGTTGAGTCTTTTGTGGGTGGTGATGGGGTGACGGCGACAGAAGAACCCATGAGGCGTCGCGCCGTTATGTGGGTGTTTTCCCGTCAGTTTCCCTCGGGTTTCCGAGGGGCAACAGGCCTAAGAGGGGTGGGGGGGTGGGGTGAGGGAGTAGCGAGAAGCGAGAAGCGAGGAGGGCTCTCGCGCGCGCGCGCTCGCTTGCTCGCTCCCGCGGCAGCGGTGTTGGCGCGAGATCTGGAGACCGCGCGGCCTTGTGGTCCGCGTGCGCGTGCGCAGAGCCGCCTCATCAACCCTTCCCCCCCCCGCATTTTCTCGGCCCGGGCCCCCGCGCGCGCCCGACTGCGAGCTCGCCTTGCGCACGCGCTCTGGCTGCTTTCTCCGAGCCCCGCCCACGGTTCTCGCGGCTTCCTGCCGGGCATCTTGTGTGCGTCTCTCATTGGCTGCAGTCGTTGCTTGGCTGCCGGGCCTGTCGGTCGGCTATCGAACTATTGAGCGATCGTCGATTCTCTGGGTAGGTAGGTAGGCTGCTTTTCGCCGTGTCCTTTAGACTCCTCTTTACTCGGCCTTCTTTATCTCCGCCTCCTAATTGTTTTCTCTCGAGAGATGAAGTTCTGCGGGTCTTGTTAACTGATTGCGGCGTCCGCCACCATCCCGCAGTGCCGCGGCGGCATTTTTTTTTCTTTTTTTGCGGGTTTAATCTCGGCTTCGCTTGGCGACCCGTTACGTTTTGAAGCGGTCGGTTGCGCCGCGGTGTGGGAGTGGGTGCCTAGCTACTGTTTCCGGTTGGCCCTGCCGCGTTCGGCCCGGAACGGCACTTCCGGCCCGTCCGTTCGAGTAATTTCGGCGCCTGTTAAGACAGAAATGTTGGCGGCCGAGCGCAGCGCTCGGTGAAGAAAAAGTACGTTAGATTGGGGAGGGGGCGGGAATTGAGGGCAAACATCACCCAAAACGGATAAACTGCTTTCTGACACGAAGTTTACGTTCCAGAATTATAATTTTTTAGGGAGTGGGAAGAGGTTAGTAATGCAAAATGTCTTGCCCTGAGAATCCTCATTCCCCTGACATTCTAGTTGCTATATCTGGTTTACTGTTAAGACAATGAGAGACCGTTATATAGGAAAAATCACTGCAAGTTTTTTTCTTTAATGTGATCCACGTCAAGCTAGAACAATTAAATTGACGTTAAAATGTTTCTAAAATTATTCATGGTTAGTGAATCTAAGCCAATCTTTCGGTGCTGAGTAGAATCTTGTTTTAGTTAGTAAGTGTGGTTAAACTATGAAATCCCCTTTAATTCGAATAATTTACGTGGTAGCGAAAGAGATTTTTAAAATACGATTCTTGGAAGAGCGTTAGTTTGTTGGTACGACCTGGAGACAACCCTGTAAGAAAGGCTTTCTGGTATACTGGGGTCGAGTTGAATATATTGAATGGCTTGTGGATAGCTTTCTGTCAATCACAGGATTAACATAATGGGAAGACATGTAGAAATGGGTATTTTTTCAGTTCTATGGAAAGCATTGGGTTGAGTTTCCAGAAACTTCGTTCATAATTGTTGAGCACTAGCTGAAAATTGTATGTTTTCAATGACTTTAATGATTTATTAAAGGAGTAGGAAAGGGTATTAAAGCCAGTGTAGCCTAGGGTATAGATTCAGTATTTAAATTATATTTGTTAGTACGAATTATGTTGTTTACATCCAGTTTCTTAAATAGTGCTCATCATTGTTACCTCAGAGTCTTTTTAGTATTTCACATTTTTTGTGTGTCGTTAGGGAATATGAGGAGAGCGAACAAAAACACAGGTAATATATTAAGAGGGGAGGAGAAATAATGACACTGTTTAGGAAGATACCCTTTTAATCTAACGACAAAACCGGGTAAAGATCTAGCCTCCTGATGTTAATAAAATAGGAATATCAAGTTGAGATCAACCCTCTCATTGAAGGATAAATGTCTTAATAATGAGCTTTTTTACTGCCACTATGACTGGAATTCACACGGTAGAGTCTGGCAAACTCCCCGTGGCGTACCCAATATGCCAAATACCAGTAACAATGAAGGGTCTCATTCTCCTAACTCTGAAAGAGCCTTGAATATGGCACTTTAAAAAAAAAAATCTCAGGGCTAGGACGAAGAGACATAACTGGGGCCTGCTCGAGGCAATCCACGAATAACAGGTTGTGAGGACTGGAATTCAGACTTTAATAAGGTAACATTACTAGCCTACATTTGTGTAATACTTTGAGGCTTTTAAACACATAAATTTTAAACATGAGTTTTACTTAGCAGTTTGCTTTTTCACTAGTTTTCATCCAAAAAACGTTGAATATGATAATGAACATGGGGCTAAGAGTCCAGCCTGCCCAGTGCAGATACCTGGCATCCTGTTTGGTTCCCTAAGCCAGCCCCACCATAAATGATCCTTGAGCTCAGATCCAGGAGTGTTCTAAAGGAAGTTCCAGCCATTTTATCATTTCATGAAAGACTTCTATGATGCTGTGTAACCTGATATTCAAGAATCGTTTGAAATATAATTCACAGATAACCTGCAGGACTATTTGAACATAATGTTCAAATCAAATGAACAAATGTTCATATCAGAAACATTTAAGATGTTGAACTTTAGTAAGGTCCATCATTATATAATCCTTCTTTTATACCTTTGGGATTGAATCTGGATGTTACCTGATAGAATTATTTCAAATGAGAAGAGCATTATCTGTTTAACAGAAATATAGAGTCTCAACTACCTGAAACTTAACAGGATTTGGCTAAAAGTATTTGTAAACTAAAATATTCATATTGGCTTAGTTTTCCCTATTATTGAGTAGGGTTGTCTTTGCCTTTTATTTAAGTGTCATTTTTATGTAGCCAATAGTCCCTTATAGGTTCAGTTATCTCTTGTCACTTTACTGGTGGTGATGAATCAAGTGGATAAAGATAACCTGAAGCTGTTACTTTTTTTTTTTTTATAAGTGGAACTTTTTAGTGAGTTTTTTGGTTCAGTGTAGTAGGTTGGTTTGATTTTGAATACTAGAAACCTGTCAGCATATTGGAAAGAGAGCCAATTTCTGGATTACTTGTACTTTGTAGCCATGGGCAACCTATGAGAACAAACAAAATCTTTTGGTTTTCCCCCCACTTCAAACTTTCTGGTAGGGTTTAGGGATGATACTGATTTTTGTTCCTTTGCTCTGCAGCCCTAAAAGCCTATGATCTAGTATATTGGCTACATTTCTAAGCCAGATTTTGGATTTGCTATTTTCACCACATATTTACTGCTTCCAACCTTAGTCTGGGAAACCATTATTTTGAACTTAAATCTTCTAATTTGTCTTCCTATTTTCCTCTCTATGTTTTATATCATCTACAGCTATCTTAAATGTAAATCAGATGGTATGCCTTCCCTGGACAAACCAGCCAGCTGCTTCACCTTAAATTAGAATAAAGTCTAGACGTCTTACTTTGACCTACTTAGTAGATGACAATTCGATCTCGTGGTTTCCTTTCTTTACGCCTTTATTATTACCCTGCCTCAACTTGACTGGTTTCTTTGCCCTGAATTTGTTTAAATTAGCCTTTGCCTATAAAGCCCTTTCCCTTGATCTTGGCACTGTGGTCTTTAGCTTAAATGTTATCACCTTAGGGCCCATGGGCCTTTTCCTTAGTCCTCTCCACCTAAATCATTTATTTTTTTTTTTTTACCTTCAGTTGAAACTGGTCTCTAATTGACTAGGAAATGTAATGTCTTAAAATACATACATAGCTCATATGATTATGGGCATTAAATGAAATGTTTTCACATAGAACAGTTTTAGCACATTGTTGGTAAGAAAGGTTTTCTAAGATGTTTGTCTATATCCCATAGTTGTCTTTTGTAGAGCAAGGACCTCCTAGTCAGGTTACCCTCATAGTGTTTTGTGCATATACCTACATTTAAAAACATATTCAATACTACATAGCAAGTATTACATGTTTGGGTCCCCCCTCCCCCCATAGTTTACATGATTTTTGAGTTCTTTGTCTGAATGCCTGAGCATATTTCTATATTGTGAATTAGTATATAAACTCATCTCTCACTTTGCTATTTTTAGTATATATTTCCTTCAGACTTAAACAAATCATGACATGGAGCAAGGATTTGACAATTGATTCTTTTTACAGGACAGAAATTAGAATGCTCAATTTCTTGAGTTAAGAGACAGTTGGATTTTAGGGGACTTCTAAATTTTTTCTTAGTCACTAGTTTAATCTTATATCTTAGACTTTGTGTTTCCAATTTTTTTGCATATTGTTTCAGATTGAGTACTTGCAAAGATTATAGATATTCATATGCATTTCAAACATAGCCTTATATTATCAATTCTTTATGTAGGAAGCACCAATCTTGTATTGTTTCATTTCTGTTACCCCAGTTTTTGTTCTCTTTAAACTAAGCTGTATGCCTACATATATACATATGTAAGCATTTTAAACTTTTAAACTAAGCTATATGCTTATAAGCATATATATATAACCCCTGAATGTTATAAATTAGGTTTTCACTATTTAGTGTAATGTTTTATATAACATTTATCTCCTGGAAGTGGTTAATTCGGACAAGTATTGACTTCAGCCGAAGACCTCCATCCCATCATTCCCATCAATCCCATCAATGGCCAAGACCCAGAGACTATAAAACCCAGCTCCCAGAAGCGGGACATCTTATTATCTCATTCTTACTTTGTACAACCTGGCAGGCTACTACTGAATGTAACCTGCCCACACGGCAGATCCCCGTGGCTTACCCAATATGCCAAATACCAGTAACAATGATGGGTCTCACTCTCCTAACCCTGAAAGAGTCTTGAATATGGCACTTTTTAAAATCTCAGGGCTAGGATGAAGGAGACGTTACTGGTGCCTGCTCGAGGCAATCTATGAAGAGCAGAATGATCGTGATTGTGATTGACTTCAAGTAGATTTGATTTGTCTGTTCTTTTTTCTCGTTTGTTGGGTCACACTGGGGTGTGCTGTGCACTCAGGGATCATTCCTATGGCTCTGCACTCAGGGGTCATTCCTGTGGGGACCTTATGTTGTTCCAGTGATCAAACTCATGGTCCAGTTGGAAAATTCAAATTTAAAGTATAATATATGCATGTATGTATTTATATGGGAAGTAGAAATAAAAGATCTATTTTAGGCTGATTTCCCAGCGTAAAATCAGCTAGGATTTGAATTTTGATTAAAACTAAGTTTCCTTAATTTTTATGGTTAAGTTTGCAACTTTCTAAACCATTTCCCCCCTTTATTAAATCTTTTACTGTACTAAATGTACCTTGATTAAATTTATATTTTTTATATTTTTTTCTTTGCCAGGTATTTGAATTTAGAGATTAGTTTCTCAGAACATTATCTTCAGGAAGAATTTTACAGTATACTAGGACTTCACTTTGACTACCTGATCTGCAAAAAAATCCTAGGTAATGTTGTCTAATTTTAGTTTGGACTTTTGGAGAAAGTGTTACTGCTGAATTACAATTTAGTGATTAAAAGTGATGTATCAGAAGTTGTGTTTTGCTTGTGTTGGTGATTTGCATTAAATAAGTTGGATTTTAAAAGTAAGTTTTAGGAAAAAGATTCTCTTTATATCTCTCTTTAAACCTTCTAGGTTGAGTGTTTGCTGTTTCTTCTATAAACATACCTCTTTAAAGATTCAGAACATAAAAAGCTATGTATAAAAAAGACAATGTATAGCAGTTTATTTAACTCATCTTATACAAGAGGAGTTCCATAACTTTTCTCCCTTTCACTAGGGTTAAGGTAATTAAAACTGATTACTTGCTAAACACTGTATTAAGTGAATTTTGTGTACAGCTCATTTGGTCCCCTCTTCAACTATGTATATTTTTGCTTACTTGCAAAACAACGATGGTATTTATCTATTAAGAGAATACTTTATTTTGAAGTGCGTTTTGTTGAAACATAAGTCATTTCTATCTTTTGAGGTTGTAGATATGTTACTGCCTCTTCTGTAATCTGGCTCAGTATTTTGAAGTACTGTTGTAAATGAAGTTGAGATAAAAGATGTGCCTTCAGAAATCATCTAGAAGTACTTGAATTTGCAGCAATTTGAAGTTTAATGAATTTGTGTTTATAGAAATGCTTCCTAATATTTAAAAAAATATTGATCATTGTGAATTACCAAGTTACAATTACTTATGATTTGAGTTTCAAGTGTAAAATCTTCCAACCCACTCCTTTCACTGGTGATCCCTTCCATATATCTATGAAATGCTTGATTTTGAGTAATAAGTTTTTTGAAATGTAGAAAGAAGTATAGTAGAAATCAACTTGGAATGAAAGTTTTGTTTCTGATTTTGTAATTAATGAGGTCTAATTTATTGTCTTTGTACTTAGCAGTAGTATGTAAGAAAAGATAGGACGATGGTGCTAAAGTTATTTTCTTATAGTTTTTGTATACCTTGCTGCTGTTTGTATGGTTTATCTTTTATATATTTTTCATCTTATCAGAAAATACAAGGGAGAATTGGAAATTGGTATATAAATTCATTTTTAATCTGCAGTCATGACAGTAGAACAGCTATAGCTCCATCTATTCTGACTTAGAATTTATTGTGCTAGGAGACTACCCGGCATTATTATAGGCAGTATTTCATAAAGAGTGGTCACCTATTTTAAAGCCAAAAAGCACTTAACTGATGATCTGGTAGGTTAATTTTTCTTAGTATTGCACTACTTTTATTTTCTTTGTTTCAAGGTTTATTACCTGTAATAAATACTCTGATGATTGTCTTTTTTACAGGAGAGGTAGGCATTTCAATTGGGCATGGAGTAACATCTAATACACTTTATGCAGTCTGATATCATTCATTGATCTTTCTGGCTTTGAGCAGCTGCTTCCCTTTTGGACTGAGACACATAGATGGGCAGTCCATAAAAATCTTCTGACATTTCTTTAATGTGCAGTATCTGTCATGTAGGTGAAAATATGGTTTTAGTCAGGGATTATTGACTGACTTCTACTCACTTAAAAAGTAATGGTAGGGCCTAGAGCCGTAGGACATAGGATGGGGGTAGGGAATTTGCCTAGCATGTGACCTGCCTGGATGTGATCCCTGGTACTCTACATGGTCCCCAAACCTGCAAGGAATAATTCCTGAATGCAGATCTAGGAATAACCTGAGCACCACTGGGTGTGTCCTGGCCCACCCCCTCTGTGTGCCTGTCCCCAAAAAGTGATGATGAATTATCCTGAAAAAGTTATGTATTGCAAACTTCAATTTTGTACCTGACAATAAGTTAATAGTGTGAAACTTTTTAGGTGTATTGTGATTTTTAACCGTTTTTGCTCTCCTATTTGACTAGGATTAAAGAAATGGGTCGCTCCAATTCTAGATCACATTCTTCAAGATCAAAATCTAGATCACAGTCTAGTTCTCGATCAAGATCAAGATCACACTCTAGAAAGAAGAGATACAGGTGAATTATGGTGTTTTTAGTTCTTTTAATATGTCAGCTAATATTTTTGGAGTGCTTGTTATATATAGACAGTGCTAAAACCACTAATAACGTTATTCTTAAAAAACCCTATAAATGGACATAGTATTCTCATTTTATTGTTGGAGAATTGAGGATTATTTTAGTTGCAGTCTAGTAAATGGCAGAATGTAGATTTGAGTCTGGTTAGTTTGATTACAGATACCAGATTCTTAATGTTGTGTTTTTTTTTGCATTTATAATATTAAGAGGAATTGGATAATGAAAGACTGGCTGTAAAAAAATCTTTGCGTGTTGTTTCACAAGTTCTCATTCCTTACTGAAGTCTCCATAAGTAGATTGATTTGTTCAAAAATGAGTAACTTGTTAGCATCAAATATTAGCACTTCGTATAGAAAATTTTAGAGATAGGTTGAAAATAAAAATCACCCTAACTTTACTAAGAATTAGTAGTTCATGATTTTTCACCCTAATCTTACTAAGAATTAGTATTTTAGATTATTTGTTTTTCAGCTTAACTTTGTATATCTATTTAGCTAGTGGTATTTCACTGTGACTAGTTGTCTTTAGGTATTCTTTAACTTCATCGCTATAAATGCCTGCATAAATTTATTGTAGTTTGGTATTTTGTGTTGTTGGGAATGTTGATCCCCGCATCCTTTTTCCTATGCCTTCTTTGCTAAGGCCTTTAATTTATTCTTAAGTTTCTGTTTTTTGGGCCACACCTAGCAATGCTCATGGGTCATGCCTGGCTCTGTACTCAGGAATTGCTCCTGGTGTTGCTCCAGTGACATGGATGAGCTGCTTTCAAGACAAGCTCCCTACCCACTGTAGCACTTTGGCCTCTCTATTACTATTTACCTTAGAATTGACACTGTTCCATAAAACCAATACATGTTTTCATTTAGTTTAAGTGTCTGAATTTGACAATGTATTTACATTATCTTCAACCAGAAGTAATTAGAATTGTAGGATGAATTAACTTTTCTTGCATTGATATTTATTTTATTTTTAGTTCTAGGTCTCGTTCCAGGACATATTCAAGGTCTCGCAGTAGAGATCGTATTTATTCTAGAGATTATCGTCGAGATTACAGAAATAATAGAGGAATGAGGCGACCTTATGGGTATAGAGGAAGGGGTAGAGGTTATTACCAAGGAGGAGGTGGTAGATATCATCGTGGTGGTTATAGACCTGTCTGGAATAGAAGACACTCTAGGAGTCCTAGACGAGGTCGTTCACGTTCCAGGAGTCCAAAAAGAAGATCGGTTTCTTCTCAAAGATCTCGAAGCAGATCTCGTCGGTCATATAGATCCTCTAGGTCTCCAAGATCATCATCATCTCGTTCTTCATCCCCGTATAGCAAATCTCCTGTTTCTAAAAGACGAGGGTCTCAGGAAAAACAAACCAAAAAAGCAGAAGGGGAGCCTCAAGAAGAGAGTCCTTTAAAAAGTAAATCACAAGAGGAGCCAAAAGATACATTTGAACATGACCCATCTGAATCTATTGATGACTTTAATAAATCATCAGCCACATCTGGTGATATTTGGCCTGGTCTTTCAGCTTATGATAATAGTCCTAGATCTCCGCATAGTCCTTCACCTATTGCTACACCACCTAGTCAGAGTTCATCTTGCTCTGATGCTCCTATGCTCAGTACTGTCCACTCAGCAAAAAATACCCCCTCTCAGCATTCACATTCCATTCAGCATAGTCCTGAAAGGTCTGGATCTGGTTCTGTTGGAAATGGATCTAGTCGATACAGTCCTTCTCAAAATAGTCCAATTCATCACATCCCTTCAAGAAGAAGCCCTGCAAAGACAATCACACCACAGAATGCTCCAAGAGATGAGACTAGGGGACGTGCATCATTTTATCCTGATGGGGGAGATCAGGAAACTGCAAAGACGGGAAAATTCTTAAAAAGGTAAGAACTAAAATAGAGCATTTGGATTATAACAATATTTTTGTTCTCTTGAATTTTTGTCTGGATTTTAGAGATTGTTACTGTGATGTGGCTTAGCTCATGACTTTCTTTTGTAGTTCCAAATTGTTTTAACTCACTTGGAAGTTGTAATAACCAAGATTTGTTTGTATTCTTATAAAACGTAATTTTTTTAAAACTACATTCCAGAAAAAAGGTTGTAAATGAGAAGAAATTGAGTAGGCTAAAACGTAACTGATGATTAGCCTGTAAAACATTGTTGTAATATGATTCATATAACGTAGTTTCATTATGTTTTTACTTGTGTTGATGTTAATAAATAACCCAGCTTCCCAGTTTTAATAATTATGACTAATTAATAGAAAAAGATAATGTATTTTAACGACATTCTAAATACTTTTTTTTTAATTCTGATTTTAGGCATTGCTAAGAGGTGCTTAAAAATTGAAAATTGGTTGCTAATGTAGGGTGATTGAATTATAAATGAGGAAATATAGAGCAAGCACGGTATTTATGATATTCTGAAATTGTATGCAATTGTAGGTACAGGTTAAAGTTAATTTTATTAAATTAATACACTACTATTGTCAGGAATCTGAGTAGAATATAAACCATTTCTGTGATTCTGTTAGAATATTAAATATGTTAATACTAATTACAATAAACTGATGAGTCTGAAATTTGTTTATAAGAATTCTGGTAGGCAAGTTATTACTGTTTCTCAGACTTGAATTTAAAAAGTGTTGCATGTGGGGCTAAGCCATAGCACAGCGGGTAGGGCGTTTGCCTTGCACCCAGAGACCCTGGTTCGGTTCCCAGCATCCCATATGGTCCCCTGAGCACCGCCAGGGATAATGCCCGAGTGCAGAGCCAGGAGTAACCCCTGTGATTCTCCGGGTATGACCCCCCCCCCCCCAAAAAAAAAACAGTTGCATGTGTAGAATCACTGGAAAAAGTAAAATCTGAAAAGGCACTTTTTTCAATAGGTTGTTTTGCTCTCATTACTGGTAGCATGTTATTAGCACAAATAAGGTGATTTACAGTAAAGGCAATCTAGAGTTACTATTCTCTTTGCTTATTCACAGGTTCACAGATGAAGAGTCTAGAGTTTTCCTGCTCGACAGGGGTAATACCAGAGATAAAGAGACTCCAAAGGAGAAAGGATCAGAGAAAGGGAGGGCAGAGGGAGAGTGGGAAGATCAGGAAGCTCTAGATTATTTCAGTGATAAAGAGTCTGGAAAACAAAAATTTAATGATTCAGAAGGGGATGACACAGAGGAGACAGAGGATTATAGACAGTTTAGGAAGTCAGTTCTTGCAGATCAGGGTAAAAATTTTGCCTCCACATCTCATCGGAATACTGAGGAGGAGGGACCCAAGTACAAGTCCAAAGCTTCACTGAAAGGCAACAGAGAAAGCGATGGATTTAGAGAAGAAAAAAATTACAAACTTAAAGAGACTGGATATGTAGTGGAAAGGCCTAGCACTACGAAAGATAAGCACAAGGAAGACGACAAAAATTCTGAGAGAATAACAGTAAAGAAAGAGACTCAGTCACCCGAGCAGGTAAAGTCTGAAAAGCTCAAAGACCTCTTTGATTACAGTCCCCCTCTTCACAAGAACCTGGATTCACGAGAAAAGTCTACCTTCAGAGAGGAGAGCCCACTTAGGATCAAAATGATAGCCAGCGATTCTCACCGTCCTGAAGTCAAACTCAAAATGGCACCTGTTCCTCTTGATGATTCGAACAGGTAATTCTGCAAGCTATCCAATAAATAATTATGGGTGGTTAATTTTCCAGTTGCTTATTTTCTGAACACACTTCCCATTTTCATATTCAAACCATTTGGTATATTTTGTTTGTATGTGTGTTTGTTACTGTTATGCTCCAGACCTGCCTCCTTGACTAAAGACAGGCTACTTGCTAGTACACTTGTCCATTCTGTCAAGAAGGAGCAAGAATTCCGATCCATCTTTGACCACATTAAGTTGCCACAGGCCAGCAAAAGCACTTCAGAGTCATTTATTCAACACATTGTGTCCTTGGTTCATCATGTTAAAGGTATGTTTAGAATGTTAGTATTGTGAATGAAATATTTCTTGCCCCAAAATGAGTAATTATGTTTAGTTTTATGTGTTTCAGTATCTCTGCTAGCAGGTATGCTTAGCATTAAAAATGTGAGGAAATAGAGCTTCATGAAAGATTATCTTGTTAGTGCTAAAATGTGATTATAATAAACTGAACAGATGAAAACCTGAAAATCATAAGTAAAATATAAATTTGCTTTTTGAAATGATGCCTGTAGAATTTGTACAAGTGCAAAATGCATTTATCTTTCATTGCATGCATGTGACTTGTAATAATTTAGTACTTTGACTACTCTCATTTTAACTGGCAGTTTTATTACTGAATGTTGAGTCTTTTTAAGCCAGTGGAAAAGCCTTAAGTTTCTGTGTTGTGTTATTTTATTATAAAATACTTCCCTCTCACAGATGATTAAATGAATTGAAAAGTGTTGGAATTACTAAGGAGAAAAAGTTGAAATTTAAGTTAAATCAATAAGTTAAAATGAATAGTAGTGACAATTCATTTTTTAGGTCCTATCGATGTTAAGGGTGTTTCACATACTGTTTAGCATGAATTCTATTTTCAGTAGCTACTTTCAGAGGCTTTAGGGTATGACTATGGGCAATTAGGTATTAGGTTTTGTTTTTCTGTTTAAAAGGCACCTTACTGTGAAATAGGTTCTTATACAGGACAGTCTTCTTGGCAATTGGTCTTCCATTTTTTTTTTTTTTAAGCAAAAGTTTTGACACAAGTTTATTGTAGCTGAAACTTGTCAGAAGCTATTCTTTATGCATTTGATGTTTCAAAACAGTGACTAATAAAATTTCTTTTTTACTGTAATTAAGCATGTAACAATTTTGTTGATTATAACTAGGTTTTAACCAATTTATGACCATATTGTGGTACATAAAATATGAAGGCGGTTAATGTTTTCCTTTTTTTCAACTTTTTGGGACCTATCTGTATTTTACAGTTATTGCTGAATTTTGAGATCAGGTTTTGATAAAAATTTTTTCCACTTTTTTTCATTTTTTAAAGAATCTGTAGTTATGTTTCATTATTGGTATTGTGCAACCGATCTGAACAGCTCTTACTTAATACAGAGCTGAAAATGCCCAGTGATGTTTTCTTTTTCATTGTAACTAGGTCCTGGAATATGTTTTGAAATGGCAAAATCCATGTTTCAAAGTAAAATAGCTGTTGAAAGATACAGGCAAAGTTGAATCTTCTGTCTTCCTGGCAAAAATGGCATAAAAACTGAGTTGCTAGCTCAAATTCCTGGGTTTCATGGAATTATGATTGAGGCACTACCCTTGTAGTGGCCGTTTCAAGTTTTAATGATTGGTTATGAGACATTTGCTGGATATTGGGCGGTAAGTTGACACAGATGTATGTTGACCTGTTAAGCAGATAGCTTGCTTCGTAATGTAACATTTCATGACTTTACGTGTCTATTTTACATTTACAACATATTTTGAACTGGTTTAAAAACTAATCGGTATTGATAGTATTAATTATAAAATTGTTAAAAGAAAGACAACTATTACATGTGCTGTCAGGTTTGCCAAGATGCCAGATTTTTTGAATAGTGAATGTTGAATGAAAAAATACTTTCTTGATTGAAATGGTGGTATTCAGTTTTTTCTTAAATTCAGTTTTTGTTGCCAGCACAGTACTTGAGTTCATCATTTATTACAGCCAGCTGTAGTAATTTTAGTATTTTTTTTGTTTTCTGCAAATTATTTGAAGCATCTACGTGTTGACTGAGAAGGTAGGACAGTTAACATAGTATTCTCTTTTGTTTGGGGAAGTGTAGTGCATTATTGAAATGGAATTACAGACTCGAAACTATTCTTGGATTATATATAGGCAGAGATTTGGGAGAAATATTGCATCACCTGTGCAGGTACAAGAAATTAAAAGGGTAGGAGATCTTTGTAATTTTGGTTCTCTTCTGCTAGGTTTCTTTGAGTATTTTTGTTTTCTTTTCACCTGCTACATGCTCTTCTGTCACAACTGAAAGTCCTTAAAGTAAATATAACTAATTGTGCAGTATTTCTCCTAAATTAACAGAACAATACTTCAAATCATCTTCAATGACCCTAAACGAGAGATTCACGTCCTATCAGAAAGCCACTGAAGAGCATAGCACTCGGCAAAAGAGTCCTGAGATACACAGGTATAGTATGTGTACTATTCATCAGAACTTGGCGAATGTTTTTGGCGGATGTTTTGATAGGGACTGTATAGTGTTTAAACTACCTTATACTGGAAATCTGCTGTTAACAAATTCTATATATTTCTTGATAATTTCATAACTTACTCTTTAGCTTATATTTAACTTATACTAGTTTTAGTTTTAATTTTAAATGTTAGTCATCACTTTCAATATGAAGATATAAATTTAATCTGACTTTTGGGGTGAGGCTGAATGCTATCCAGTAAGTGTAAAATGAAGAAGCTTGGTGAGATATAGAACTGGTTTCAATGAAGAGCATGACTTTCAGTTGAAATGAGTCAATTATTTTCTAAACCTAGCTTAGTTGTATCATTTCGTTGTGATGAACAAGTTATATAATCTCTGAACATTGTTTTTTTCAATCTACAAAATGAGGGTAACATTTTCTTTTGCAGGGTGTTGGTGGTAGTGTGTTTTAAAATACCTAAGTCAATGATTAGTACATAAATGGTGTGTTTTGTAGTGATTGCTAAGCAGCTCTGGGAAGTTGCAGTTGACACTACGTTCTCAAAGGCAAGAAAAAGAATAAAGGAGTCTATATGTAAAATTAGTTATAAAAAAACTGTGTGTTCATAGTTTATTATAATTGATGATTAATTAAAGTGGTTATATTTAATTTAGTGAAAGCTTTACTTTTTTAACGATAAAGGACTAGGGGTTGGTCAACCTTTCTAATGATACTGGCCAGGCTTACGGACTCTTTAGTTTCTGGAATAGAACTCGGGCCTTTCTGTATGCTGTCTGTGCTCTATATCTTGAGCTATAATCTCAGGCCCAGTATTTATGGTTTTGGTGATTGGAATAAGTTTGAGGTTATTAAAAAATAAAATTAGATTCTTTTAGAAACCACAAAAATCTGGTTCAAACATTTTATTTTCAGTAAATCTTAAACTTTTATTAGGAGCTTGAATACTAACCTTACTGTGCTCAATTAATAGCTTAGGAGAAAAATAATTTTGGCATTTCCTTTATACAGTTAGGAGCATTAAAAAAAATGCCATTAAGTTAATGTAACTACAATGGACCTTATTTTCTATTAAGGAGAATTGACATCTCTCCAAGTGCCCTGAGGAAGCATACCCGTTTAGCAGGGGAAGAAAGAGTTTTTAAAGAAGAAAGTCAAAAGGTAAATTTTGAATGAACATAATTTTTCAAATTAAGTTCAGTTTAGATAATGATGCTTATTGAGTATGATTCTAGCAAATTATTTACGTTTTTCAAATTTACAAAATACAGTATACATGGTAATGGTATGTAGTTTTCCTTCCTAACAAATGAAGCAGGCGTTGCAATTGATCATAAGTTACACCTAGAGTAGTTTATAAAAAAACAGTATGAAATTGGTTTTTAGACGAAGAATCTTGGGTCAGATGAGGACAATTATAAAAGTAAAGATTATAAAATAGATTAGAGATTAATTAATTTTGAGATGATAGAGATGAGCCAGAGTGAATAAATCATGATTTTATGTACTCAAATTAGTGTCCCTGGGTTCTTCACAGAGATCAAAAAGTAATCTATGCTACTGGGCATTTTTGATCTGATCTAAGAAATCTAAGTTTTGATTTACTAATGAACCATTGGATTAAAAGCTTTGTATAGTAATATTTGTGGATTGGTGTGAAATGGCTTTTTAAACTTCAGAAAGACTGAATGAGTAATATAGAGGAAGTTCTGTCAGTGGAAATTACTTGTTAAGGGGAGTTCTTGAAATCAGATAATTTTCTAGGTAAGCGAGATTAGTCCATAAAATTATAGTGGAAATGGGTGGAAAGAGAATGGGTACAGATCTTTCTTTAATATAAAGGTAAGGAGACTTGAAAGTACTATAAATTGCCAGTTCAAATTGTGCTGTCTCAGTAGTACCAAGAAATTAGTTTCTTGAAGGTTTGGGTTTCAAATTAGAAAAGTAGGACTACTTGTGTTTTGATGAGGTATTTAATAACTAGATATTAGGAAAATGTTGACAATTTTGTGTGATTTTTAAAAAAAAAATATGGCATGCTCTGAACTTGATAGGGACTTTAGATCTTAGAATGTAACCACATGGGCAAATTTGCATGGGCATATTTATTAAAGAATAAAGATTGAGGAAAAATTAAGTTTTGCTTTAAATACCTTGGGTTCAGTGTTGGTCAGTTTTGTTTTACCAATAATTTAGTCTATATTTGGGCGAAGCATCTATCTAGCTTCTCATTATTCAGGCCAGATTTTGATCTGAAGGAGCGATAATAGTGATTAGTGATAGAAATGACAAGTGGATATGATTTTTTTCCCCTTCATTTTCCTATGTCAGTGGGTAATTAGCGTAGATGTGTTAATGCGTTGTATACATAGCTGGAGTCTTAAAGTACTTATCTTACTACTTGCGGGCTTTAAAATATCTGAGTGAAGTAGCAAGTCTTTTGTTCTTGATTACATTTTCTGTTTTTAAGAAAAACTAGGTGAGTAGTTGCTAGCATTGGGAGATAAACTTACTCTCATTTTAATGAATGCTTATAGCTAGACTTCCCGGGTTAAGTACTTTTATTATTGAATACTAGCAAGGATGTCCACATTGCTTAGCATCTTACTGATGTATAATTTTTCTTCATTCCTAGATGCCTCTTTCCATCTTCCTAAATTATATAGTATTTGAAAAGGCAATGGAACAAGAAGGAGGTGAATTGTGACCCAGTTAAACTAATGTCCGTTGCAATACCTGAATTGAGAAAGGGCAGTATATGGCCCCAAATACAGAGTACAGGATTGGGAATAATATCTTTCTGACTTTGTTTTTACTATTATTCAAATTCAGTTGTTCTCATTAATCTTATTCCACGTGCATGTTCTGGAAACCATAGAATTCTTTTAAGTGGTTTTTTTCTTATTGGGATGGTCAACTTACTTGAAATAGCGTAAAATGAGGTTTAAATAATGAGGATTGTTTTTTTAGGCTCCCATAATAGGCAGAAGGGTATCCACAACTATAGATTATAACTTCTATCATTGTTCAACTGTTACAAATAATGACATTTGGAAAAGGATGAGTGGTGATGAAAAAAATACCGTTTTGATATGCACAAGTTTATTATGGATTGCTTTGAGCAGAAATCTGACAGTTTCAATACAGTTAGCTTTTTATTAACTTTATTAGTTCTGTTGGCACTTGCACACAAATGCTTGATAAAAGTACCTTTTAAAAATACGGATTTAGTATGTTAATATTTAACCTCTTCTGACAATAAGATGCCAATTTAGAAAATGGCATAAAATTTTGCTGTGTATGTTTTTTTTTTCTATATCCCCTGAAATGTGTATTTCACGTCTGTCTTTTCTAGGGAGATAAAAAATTAAGGTGTGATTCTGCTGATCTTCGACATGACATTGATCGTCGGAGAAAAGAAAGAAGTAAAGAACGGGGGGATTCCAAGGGCTCCAGGGAATCCAGTGGATCAAGAAAGCAGGACAAAGCTCCAAAAGATTACAAAGAATACAAATCTTACAAAGAAGACAGGTAATTGTCAAAACTGTCTGCCTTAGGTTTTAGCTTCTAATTAGCCTTTAATAATTGTCAGCTTAATTGCTTTCAATTTTGACTGTGTAATCGAATGTTTAAATTTAAACAATTAAAATTATTTGTTTTACAGCAAAAATGTATTTGTCTTTTACACGGCTTATGGTGGATGAGGACAAAAACTTTGGAATAGCAAGCTAACACTGAAAAAAAAAATGACAAATTAATGTGTCCTATTATCCAGGCTACATCAGGAGGTTGGACTTCAATGCAGTGCATTTCTAGAAACAGTTTGTGTAAGAACTTTGGTTCGTTATGCTTGATTCCGCACTTTTTCAACTCATAACACCCAGAGTACAAGAATTTTAAACTGATATCTAGTGGTTTAACATGGGAGACTTGGGGGGAGGAAAGACTAGTTTATATGAAATACCAATGTGTATTAGTCTTTCAAAGTAATTTTTCCATGGATACTGTTAGCAGTGGTAAGAATTTTATCAGGTATGACTTTTCCGGGTGTTGCATTAGAATCATAAATTGATCATCATAGAGTCAAATAAGAGAAATGCTAAGAATCATAGATAATCGTTGTTCTTGCTATTCATTAGGTAAATGGTGGATTTTTACTTGTGTTCTTTTAATTACTACTTGTATTTGTATGTCATATGCTTTTCATTTCTATAACGGTGTTATGGCCCAAATCATACCAACTGTTCTTGTCCAAGGTATACAAACTGCAGTCATTTTGAAACTTGGCCTTAAAATTATTCTTACTTTTCCTACTCTCCTTTTCCTTCCTTTAAAATAATACCAACAACAAAAACATAAGATAAATATTGAAGAACTGAATCTTATTTTTGGTTTCCAGACTGCTAGTTTCTAACTGGCAGGCCACATAGTATCTTTCATGTAGTGATGTAAAACAAATATTGGAGGAGAATGGAAACAGACTGTGTCATTAACACCCAATTATTTTAGTTATATAAAATTTCAGTTGGGGTAGTTCTTTTGACAAGATTCAGCAGGGTTTTATCTTTTTTAAAAATAGCACATATTCTTTTGTTTTCTTTCTTTATTTTGCAGTAAACATAAAAGTAGAGAGCAGGATCATTCTCGATCTTCATCCTCTTCAGCATCACCTTCTTCTCCCAGTTCTCGAGAAGAAAAAGAGAGTAAGAAGGAACGAGAAGAAGAATTTAAAACCCACCATGAATTGAAAGAATACTCAGGCTTTGCAGGAGTTAGCCGACCACGAGGAACCTTCGTAAGTAATAGAATTATTTTTAGAAGTTTGAAAGGACATATAAGGGAAGTAAGGTGACTTATCGTTATATGTGACAATATTACTATAGTCAGAGTAGTCTTTAGAATGAAATATTTAGAATGAAATAATACTCTAAGTGTTACAATTAATGTAGAAATGGCACTGAGGGGATCTGAAGAGTAGGAGCTGCATATGGGATGATTTGTTGTACACAGTACTAAGTAAATTTTTTCCCCGTAATTTCATATTTTAGATGTAAAAGCATCTTTAAACAACTTATTTTTGGGAACAGTAACTGTTCATACTGCTTTAAGAACCCAAGAGTCAAGGGAAATGATGGGGACCCACTTCTTTTGTTCATTAATTTTTTAAAAAAGATAACATACTAGGACAATTCTTCATATATGCTGCTGGGGAAATAGAGGACTCAGGTTCATCTATGCACTTGATGCCAGCTATCACCTGCTACTACCTGATTACCCAAGTCTTGCTGGATATAGAATCCTGGAGGCTCTGAATACTGTCAGGATCAGGTGTGGCCCTGAAGATCCTCAAAGCACTCTTAGGGAGGCCCCTATAGTCCTAGCATTGGAGCTCACATCTATAAGCATTGAACCATTTGGCTTAGTTGGCTGAGAATCACTAGGATTGGCCCCAGGTGCACAGCTTGAAAGATTATTCACCCCCAATAAGAAAGTCTATGAAAATTAAAATCCTTACACTCATTTATTGCGGCTATATTCAAGGCCTATTTTGTATGTATGTTAGTCTTAGAATAATTTCTCATAGCATATAGTAACCATAAAACTTGTTACGGTTATTTACGCAGTGACTTCATAATAGTACATCTTGAATCTTTTAATTTTTAAATTTAGGTTTTAACCTTGAGGGAGCATTCTTTCTGGTGTCATCAGTAGAGTTCACTTACTAGTTCAATTCAGCAAGTAGTGAAGGGCTTTGTTAAAACGGGATGGGTGTGTAGTTGATCACTGGGATCCTGTGGTAATTCAAAGGAATTAACACTTCTAATTAGTAACAGGAAAAAGAACAAAAGTGATAATTTTAAAATAACTGCAGGCCATCAAATGTGCTGTTTTAACACGTTAATTGCATTTCTTCTTACCCTGTTCAACTTTGGTAGGTTGAAACTTTTGCCTATGATAAAATAAAAATAATAAAAATGGCCTTTTTAATAATCTTCAAAGGCTATTAAAGTGAGATTTAGGAAAATAGAGAACATATTTGTTACTGCAGTAAAATTAGAGTTTGCATGTAACTAAAATACTTTTTGATTGCATTACTAAACAATTTTGTTAATGTTAATCAGTTTCGAATTAGAGGCAGAGGAAGAGCCAGAGGAGTTTTTGCTGGGACAAATACTGGTCCAAACAACTCAAATACTACTTTTCAAAAGAGACCGAAGGAAGAGGAATGGGATCCAGAATATACCCCAAAGAGCAAGAAGTACTTCTTGGTGGGTGTTAGAAATCTGTGTTTATTTGGTTTGCATTAATTTTCAAAGCTTACTGGGTGAATACATTTGAGTACAAGTAGCTGGTACTATGAGAATATTTCACCATAATGCAGGAAACCTTTAAAAAAACTCATTACCCAGATTGCAAGTTTTGAAAATGTGGGTTTTTTTTCCCTTGTTTTACTTTATGATATCACCCATAATCTGCTCAGAGTGGGAAAAAAAAACCAACTTACCCCAATATAACTTTATTTGATAGCCACATTCATAAAACATGTTTCACATTTATCTATGACACTGTCAGTTGTGAAAGTTTCTCATTAAGATTTACTTTTTATCATTACTAGGTTATAGAGCTCAGAAAGGTGGGGTTAAATTTAATTGGAAATTAAGGAAGGTAAAAAATTTGTAAAGTTACTAGATAAATTAACTTTATGATACTTGTGATGCATATGAGGTAGTCTTGTTAGGTAGTTTTCCAAGGGCGAAAGCTAGGGAAGATGGGTCCTAATAAATATATAGGTAAGATGGAAGTTTTTTACAGTTTGTCACAGGGTAGAAGTTTATCCTTCAGTGCACACATGTAGCACTGTCCTCCCGTTATTCCAACAATTTGCTTGAGCGGGCCCAGTAACGTCTCCACTGTGAGACTTGTTACTGTTTTTGGTATGTCCAGTACATCACGGGTAGCTTGCCAGGCTTTTCCGTGCGAGCAGGCTACTCGATAGCTTGCCTGGCTCTCCGAGAGGGGCATTACACACATAAATTAAGAAAATACCAAAATTATTATCAAAAGCAATAATTTGTCATAACTTCACAAAGGGAAGTAATATTTCTGAAGACAATTCTTGAATAAAGGATTAAATAGTACTGTTAAATTAGAGTACTGTTAAATTAGTATGAGATTTAACAATTGTATCATTGCTATAAATATACTGGAATACACGAATATCCTTAATACTCATGAGTTTAAGGTTAAGGTGCATTTTGAATCAGTTGTTTGGAGGAGAGTGGCTAGTACCAAAATTGTAATTTTCATATACCTGTTTATGGTTATTTTGATGACCAACCAAAATCTGTAAGATTTTGCAGAGTTCTTTATGTATAATATGCAGTACATGCTACATGCTCAGTAGTGCTTCTCTGAGGAAAAAAAATTTGCTTTTTGCGTTTGCCTGAGTTGACAGCTTGGAAAGTGAATTTTGTTACAATTTTAACTGATTCGTTTGCTTTTTGCTTTAAGAATGCATGTATTAAACAGACTGCTGCTATAGTAGTTACTAAGAACAGAAATGTAAATAAGATTTGAATTATTGATGTAGGAAACTAATAATGAAGAAAAACATTCTAAGTATGTTTTCTCAGAGGGAGTATGATTGGTGTGACTATGTTGAAGAGCTTGGCTTCATTCTTGGGCTTAAATTTTCAAGGGGAGGGTAGGTGAATTGCCAGAGTAGGAACGATACGTACAAGTACAGTGTACTCTAGTACTTCTATAGGTGATGTGTTTTAAGTTTGGAAAATTGCGGGAGCCAAGTTGTAGAAGACCACTGTTTTAATACATTGGACTGGACCTTTTGTGCTAGATTTTAAAGAAACTTGTGGATGGGAACAAAACTTGTGGATGGGAGTTTGAACTAAGGGACCAGATTTTAGAAAAGTTAATATTTATTAGGACGTATTCAGACGTTCTCTCTTCTAATTGGGTGTTAGTAATGAGGAAGAGGAATCTCTGCAGATAGGGAATGCTGGTGAAGGAAAGATTTAAGTTTTGTAAAGTGCCACGCTAAATCAAGTGGTGATGTGTAGTGGATAGTTGATGAAACTCTAGAGAGAATAGGTAATGGAACTACCCACTCAGAAGAGATTCAGAAGTCTTTCTTGAAGTGTGAGGTAACAATTGGGTATAGTATTTTGCCAGAAATTTAGGCTAAATGAAGGGTCGAAAATCAGGAAAATGAGCGGTAAGCAAATAAATTATAGTTGTTTTACCACATTTTACACAAAATGTCATTTAGATGACTTCATTTTTCTATGACACTCGAATATCATATCAACAGTTTGGACCTTAAATTGAAACAATCAGGCGCCGGAGTGATAGCACAGTGGGTAGGGCGTTTGCCTTGCACGTGGCCGACCTGGGTTCAATCCCCGGCATCCCATATGGTCCCCCAAGCACCGCCAGGAGTGATTCCTCAGTGCAGAGCCAGGAATAACCCCTGAGCATCGCTGGCTGTGACCCAAAAAGCAAAAAAAGAAAAATTGAAACAATCATTTTAAAATTAGCCTTAACATTTAAAACATTTTTTGAGGTATCATAATTTATAATATTTTTAGCTCAATACTTTGGGGGGGGGGTGCTGAAGAGGAGAGTACAGTGGACTGGGCACTTAAATGTGCCTGACCTGGGTTTGATCACCAGGAGTGATTTTCCGAGGATAGCCAGGAGTGAGGCCTGATCACTCCAGGGCGTGACCCCAAAACAGAAAAAGTAACTTCTATATTTCGACACCATGCACACCCCCAGTTAATCAGGAACTCTCCACCATTATCCCACAATTTCTTTCTCCCTATCCCTGAATAGGTAGGATAGGTGGCAACCAGCAACCTAAAATGCACAAAATAACAAGCAGCTTTTTAGTAAAGAAGGATATGTTAATTTAAAAAATATAACCAAGTTAAAATTTATATACTGTTACTTATTTTTATCTTTTTTTGGGTGCACCTGACTCTGCACTCAAATCACTTTGGGTGGTGTTCCAACACAGGTCAGCTGAATGAAATGTGAGTGCCCTACCCACTGTAGCCCCTATTTGTCCACTTTAACGAAGAATTAAATTCGAGCAGGGATGGGCAGCCTCCGTAACTCCCTTATAGCTACTCCTATGTCCACAACCACTGCCATGTAAGCTCATACATCAGCCCAGCTTTATAGATTTCACAGTTAAATCTTGGAAGAGATCAGCAATCCATTAAAACCTGGGGGGAGGGGTCTAGTCTCCTGCCAGAACACTATGAGGCACCCTCAGGAGGCGGTGCCTGGGTGCCTGCTTTGCTGAAGCCCCAACAGTAGCAGTCAAACCCCACAGCTGCCTCCTGAGCCTTTCAGTTGCCCAGCTCTGCTGCCTTCTGACTAAGCTGCAGAGATGCCAAGCTGGCAAAAATTCCAGCTACATGGGTCTTCAGGCTGAGAACTCTTTAATAAAGAGTAGGGGAGGGTGCCCCCCCACTTCTGGAAGCCCTGCAGCCACATATATAATATATATCACAACTGCTGCCTAGTAAGCCCTTCTGGCCACACACACCTCCAAATTCTTTGTAATACCTCAGTTGGATGCACACTAAAATAGAGTAAATAGAAACCAGCTGAAGCTCAGTAAACAAGAACTTTAAACACAGGAGGCTCAGCTAGCAAGGAACGGCTGAAAACCTTCAGACAAGAACTTAATAATCCCATGATAAGATACATTTACACAACTTTTGTTTTACTGGAGTAATTTTTGAAAATTTCATTAGCCATTTAATTGTAACAAGCAGTATTTTTGTGCCTGCTAATGGGGCAGACTTTCACTGTCACTGTCCTCCCGTTGTTCATCGATTTGCTCGAACGGGCCCAGTAATGTCTCCATTGGAGACTTTGTTGTTTCTGTGTTTGGCATATCGAGTACATCACAGGTAGCTTACCAGGCTCTGCCGTGCGGGCGAGATACTCTCGGTAGCTTGCTGGGCTCTCCGAGAGGGGCGGAGGAATCGAACTCGGGTCGGCCATGTTGGCTGCGTGCAAGGCAAACGCCCTATTGCTGTGCTATCGCTCCAGCCCATAGGGCAGACTTTGGGGGTTGGGGAAATGGGGACAGTGGTAGAAGGAAGGATTTCACTGTTGGAATTGCTGTTGCAATAATAAATGCCTGTAACAAATGTATAATGAAGAACTTTGTAGACCAGGGCGTTTAAATAAAGGGGGAAATTAAAAACTTGTTTTAGGTTTAAAAATAAATTTGAGGACCAGTAGTCCGTTTCTACATATGTAAATGACTGAGGTACAGAGAGTGAGCAGCTTGACCAAAATTATGGCTTACCAGGAGTGTTTGAATCCCTTCTAATTGGGCTTTAGAGCCAGGTTTCTGAAAAGAGCACCAGATGATTTCTCCAGGAGTAACCTTTTTTTTTTTAAAAAAAATTATCCTCTAGTATGCTAAATTCATTTTCATGTGAAATACAGATTTTTGCAAAGTTGGATTAATTCTCCAGGATAGAATAGTTTAAGAACCTGAAATTCTCTGGAGGGCTGAATATTATGAAGAATTGGAACAAAAATAAAAAAGCGAGGAAGTGGCAAATGCTCATTGTTGAATTGTTTCCCAAGGAAGCAAAAATCTTTGCTGAGGAAATTGTTTTAGAGGTTGAAGTAAATTACCCCTTTGAAGCTTCGTTCTGTGTAGATAAAACACGAAGATTCAGAAGATCTTGGTTCTAAAGTGGCCTAACATATTTCTAGCTATATCTAGTAGCACTTGTACTTTACCATCTGATAATTAAAATTATAATAAGGATTAATACTTGATCTAAGAAAGTGTTTTATCATCAGACTGTCACTGGTAACTGCCAGGATACCTTTGTAATCTTAAAGCTGAGCCTGTTTGAGAAAAGGATTTAAAACTACTAATTTAATGCGTATCAACGTTACCAGTAATTTGTTTTTCTTAACTCTTAATGCCTTAATGGTTATCATTTACTGCCTGGGAAGTCTACTGATGGTCATAGGATAGCAGAAAGGGTTAACTGTGGCCTTTTGACAAGTCACTTAAGCTCTCTGACTCTTTTTTTTGTTTCATTTTGTTTTTGTTTTTTGAGCCACTCCCAGCAGTGCTTACAGGTTACTCCTGGTGGGCGACCATATGAAATACCAGGGTTGGCTTTGTGCAAGGCAAGCACCATACCTGCTATACTACTGTTCTGGCCCCATCTCTGTGACTCATTTTATCACTGAAAATGTTAATAATACTATCGTAGTTATTGTTGGAATTAGATGAGTAAGTTTATGGAAGACTTCAGAATAGCGCCATTTTCTTAGCAAGTACTCTATAAATATTGCCCTGTACATTGAGAACTTGTTTATCAGATACCTAAGTGGGCATTTTTACAGATATTTAACTGTTCCCTCAAAACTCTCTCTTTAAAAGTGAGGAAATAAAGTCATGCAGTTTGCTGGTTATTTTTGAAATAATGTTTAAGTACAACAAACAGTATAAACTACAGAGTTGGTTGTGCTCATAATGAAAGGGGGACAGAATCTAATTTCAGGGGTAGACAAGCAACAGTTTGTAGTTGAAATCTTTTGACATATTGCAATTTATACAAACATTGATATTTTCTGTGGATACCATACTCTGATCTAGTGAACTTTGGTTAGATGGAGATTATTAGAAATTGGTTAGTGTTCTTTCATAGTCTTGATAACAGGAGGCTTATCGGTAATATATATAATATGCACAGTATGCCCTTTTGTAAAAGATCCTTTTACACATAATTGAAAAAATTTGTGTCTTAAATAATTGATCACTACCAATATTCCATAGAATGTGCAGATATTGCATGATCCTTTTTTTTCTTAAAAAAGACTTTGGTATGTTGCAGTTATAGTTTATATAAATTGAGGTGGGCAGTAACTAAATTTTAGGGAGTATTGATTTATTTGGTATTTTAAGATAAACTCCTTATTTGCAAAATCAGTTATTCTCAATTTTCAACTTTGTAGATTGTTTTGATTAAAGAAATAGTTCCCCTTCTCCCCCCCACCCCCTTTTTGGGTTGTACCCCGCGATGCACAGGGGTTACTCTGGCTCTGCACTCAGGAATTACTCCTGGAGGTGCTTGTGGGACCATATGGGATGTTGGAAATCCAACCTGGGTTGGCTGTGTGCACCCTACCTACTGTGCTATTGCTCCAGCCCCTAAGGAACAGTTTTTAATTAAGAAAAATTCAGGTGTGTCTAGAATTGCTACAGGTGGGAGAGCAAGAAGGTTGAGGATACTGTGAAGGATTATGTTAGCATGATTGGCATATTAGGTTCTCTAGTTCTGAAGATGTATAATTAATTACCTAGATTGAAATCTCAGTAGGATTTTAAATTATGGTACTATGTAATTCTTACCATCTTTTAGTTGGTAATATTTTCTTTTAAAGAAATTCTTCAAAAAATTTTAGTGATAATGTTCTTACCCTTTCTGTAGCATGATGACAGAGATGATGGTGTGGATTATTGGGCCAAAAGAGGAAGAGGTCGTGGTACTTTTCAACGTGGCAGAGGACGTTTTAACTTCAAAAAATCAGGTAGCAGTCCAAAATGGACTCATGACAAATACCAAGGGGATGGAATTGTTGAAGATGAAGAAGAAACTTTGGAAAACAATGAAGAAAAGAAGGACAGACGCAAAGAAGAAAAGGTAGGAAATTACTACTAGATAGCCAGCAACACATTGTATTTTGTATGTGTTCTCTGGGCATTTTTAGGAACAGTAATGATTGTTGATCCTATCTCATACCTTTGCTAATTATAATTTTTTTTTTTGTTGTTGTTTTTAGGAATAGTAAATCGGAAGTGAGATTGCAACAGAGAGCAGAACTTGCACCCACCATTTTTTTTACCTTATTTTTGTTTTCAAATAAGAATGTAAGCATTTTACTTAAATTTTACTGTTTGCAACTAGTCTATAGAAATTTTGTTTTTAAGTCTTCAAATATCTTGAAAAATAGTAGACTGTATGTTGAAAATTGTACTGAAATAAAGTAGAAAATTGTTACGTACCATATTTGTAACTATCAACTTTTAAAAAAATACTTTTACTGTTTTTGTTACATGCATTGTATTTCTGCTTTGTCTATAAGATATGGTCAAGTACAGCTCTGTGAAAGTTCTGATTCTCTCCCCTCCCTGTTTGTTAATGTTTATCCTGAAGTATAAACGTTAGCTCTACATACAAATATCTGAACAGAAATTGTTTATAGAGACCACACTAAATATTTTAACTATACATCTTTAATGTTTAACATTTCTTTAATTCAAGCACACTACACTATAGGGTGACTAATTACCAAGAAAAGTTACTTTGGTAAAATAGTTTAACATTTCAGCAAATGTTTAAGGAAGAAAAAAGCTTTGTCATTAAACAAGCTACTCATTAAATAGAATTAAGAAATTTATTTTTATTGAGAGCAAACTGTCTTACAAAAAAGTTTCTTGGGAGCATTCATTTGGGTTCAAAATTCAGTGTTCTCTGTGTCTTCTTAATTGAAAGTTTGAGTCATGGTCTTAGGTATCAGCTATTCTTTCAGAGAGTAAATTTAAATTGGTTTGTAATACATAATACCATTGCAAATGAAAACACCATTCCTACAGAATGTCTTACCAAAAAAAAAACCCACAGAAACAGCAAACTCTATTGTAATACTGTAATACTGGTGTTGGTATGAAAGGATTTATCCTGCAAAATAACATGATATATTAAAATGTGCCTGATTTCATAATTTAAGTATTTATTTGAACTTTTGGACAGTTAAAACGTTAGGTTGTAATCTAGTTAAAAGGAAAAAAGCAGAACATATTGTTAATATAGTGTTCTTGATTTTCAGTCATTAATAAAATGTTGACAGAAAAACTGCTGCAACCTTGCTCTACCTTGACTTCTTCTCCCCCTTATTTCAGTGGCAGTTTGTAAATTTGCTTTTTTTTTCTTCGCAAGGATTCTAGAATTTATTGATAATTTTTCAAATGTGAATAACTTTTGTTGATAGCTCTTAGATGAAAATCTAAAATAGCAATTTTCAAGTTGTCATGGTGCTTTATGAGCATATATTAGTTAAATTTTTAGTTAATTCAGTTGAATTAGTATGTTTGCATTCAGTGGGTATAATGCTTATTCTGTTAGTGTAAACTTGAGAAGAGCCATCTTCTCATCTTTGGTATCAGATTTGCAAAGCTTCTAGCACCTCAGGGGCATTTGCTAATAAGATCTGATTGTGAGAAAATGAAAACAAGCTCTACATGTCATGAGTGTGACCCTAAAATATTTAGTGTTGCATGATAGCTCCTTTTTTTTTTTGATCTATCTAAAATTGTTATTAGAGCAGAGGAAGTATTGTCTAAGCAGATATATGTTGCATTAAGCAGAGCATAATCTAGTCAGAATAGTACTAAATTACATGCTAAAGGAAAATGGATTTGATCTCTAACCTAGGAAAATTTTTTATGGATATTTAGTTTTATACAACTAAATTTGGCTATTTAATAGCTCTGTAGCTATTTGGCTAGACACTGAATCTCAGTGCATTACTAAGTGTGCAGTTTTGCTTTTCTACTTAAGACAGTAGAAAAAAGGGAATTCACTGAGAAACTGATAGGCAGTGGGAATAAAGCCAGATAAGCCCTAAGAAGAAAAGGTAATTGCTTTAACCCAAATGTATATGTGATTTGGTTATTTCCATTCTCTTAAAATTGAGAAAACAGGATTGAACAGGCTGATTATGATAATTCTGCAGTAAAATGCTATTGTGGATGTTACCTATTTCTAGAGCTACCCATATAAAAAGTAATCAGTATGTATTTTTTTATGCCATGATTTCATGCTCAAGTCATTTTGTAAAAGCTGTATGGTTCCTCTGGTGAAAAATACTTGTTTGCAAGTGCCAGAAAATAATAATTCGATACCTGCATTAACAGTATGTAGAGAAAGAAAATGAAAACCAAAGGATTTTTCCAGAAGGGATTTAAGAAAGCTGTGTAAGACCATGACTCAGTCCTTAGCGGTGTATAACTCTGAACATCCTATGAATTTTAATATAAAGAGCAAAATATGTTTTTCCCAATTGAAGCCTATTAAGGAGTTATTATGGTTCCCCTTTGTCACAGTTAAAATCAGGTATTGGGAATTAAAATAATTCATGAAAAAATATTACCCAATAAAAATGAATGTAGATGGCTAAACGATTCTTACTCAGTGTGATGTATAATGCAACAGGGACCCTTGTAAATTGTTATATGCCAATAAACTGTCATAAGTGGTAATAGGTGTTGTTTATTTACCTGATTTCGTGTCTATTCTGTACTAATTTACAGGATTTCTAGATGTTAGAACACCAACTCATTTCTTAGGGAAAGTACTGATACAAACTGGGAAATTGTGTTTTTTTTTTTTTCATGTGTTGGTAAATTCTAGTAAAAAATTTTTAAGTGAAATAAAATAGTTTCTATTGAGAAAACTTAGAGAAGTGTGAGGAAAGAGATAACACGTTCAAGGAACAATGTGGGCCTTTCAGTGCGAAAATCTTATTCTAAAATTTTTTAACCCTTACTCCCATCTTGGGCTGGAGCAATAGCACAGTGGGTAGGGTGTTTGCCTTGCATGCAGCTGGTCCGGGTAGACCCCGGTTCGATTCATCCACTCCTCACGGAGAGCCCGGCAAGTTACTGAGAGTATTCGTGCCGCACGGAAAAGCCTGGTAAACTAACCATGATGTATTGATACACCAAACGCAGTAACAAGTCTCACAATGGAGACGTTACTGGTGACCGCTCGAGCAAATTGATGAACAAGAGGACAGTGCTAAAGTGCTGCAGTGCTACTCTCATCTTAATTACTCTTGGGGAATTTAATAGTGGGGAATTCCAAATCACTATAAAGTTTTTGTTTGCTTTTTCTGTAGTTGAGACACATCTTTTGACTTACAGTAATGTCAAATTGTTCCTTTAAAAATGTTTTTAATTTTAATTTTTCGAGTTTTTTTATTGAATCACTGAGATAAGCAGTTACACAGTTGTCCATGATTTAAACCATTCCTTTTTTTTCAATTTATTTTTTTTTCTTTTTGGGTCACACCTGGTGATACACAGGGGTTATTCCTGGCTCTGCACTCAGGAATTACTCCTGGCGGTGCTCGGGGGACCATATTGGATGCCTGGGAATCGAACCTGCGTTGGCCGCGGGTAAGGCAAGCGCCCTACCTGCTGTGCTATCACTCCAGCCCCTATTTTTTATTAGTGAATCGCCATGAGGTACAGTCACAAACGTATGGACTTTTGTGTTTGCATTGCAGTCACACAATGATCCTTTACCCATCCCTTCACCAGTTCCCATTCTCCACCACCAATGTTCCCAGCATCCCTCCCCACCCCCACCACCACCCCACCCCGCCTCAGTGGCAGTGCATTTCCTTTTGTTCTCTCTCCTTTTGGGTGTTATGAAAACCATTCTTTTATTGCATTGCCCATATGAAGAATTTATGCATGCTTAAGTTTATTGGTTGGGTAATTTTAATGTTACATACTTTTAAAAGTAAATAAGGTATCCTACCATACTAGTTTTAACTTAGTTTTCAGTATTCTACTTTTTTGAGTTTTTTGCCCTGCTGCCTTCCTCTTTGTTCACTTTACTATCTAAGATTTATACCTAGCAAAGACCACAATGCTTATTGAATGCAGTATATTTTTATAATCTAGCAAGTTATCCTATTTACACAGCTTGTGTGTTTAGAATTAAGCACTGTGCTTGGTTGCATAAATACTCTATTATTGAGAAAAAGATAAAGCAGAACTGGTTTTCTGTAGAAGTTGGGGAGGGAGAAGGGGTGGTGTACTGCTCCAAGCTCCTTATGCTTGAATAGGACTGGCTTTATACTCCCTGGGCCCCTGTAAATAGCATTCTAAAGTACTTAAAAAGCTTTTCTGGAGAAGAGATAAAGGTCAAGTTCAAGTCATAGAATCCAGGGCGGGATTTGATTTTAAAAACAAAATGGATGATAGTGTTAATGCGGTTTTTTCCTCTGCACCTAATTTTTGCAACTAGACGTATAAAAAAAGTAGAGCAGGAAGAATGAGAGTGGAAAATTTTCTGCCTGATAGTATGTAAAATCTATCTCCCTGTCAGGAATAGCTCTGATAACTGATGCTGAACTTTCAGTTCTCTGGATCATATTTCACTCATATTTCACTCACGTAATTGCTGTATTAAATTGGAATTTATCAACTGGAATTACCAGCAATGCACAATTCTTTTAAGACATTTAAAAAGTAATGCTGCATTTATTTTGGAAACTTGCAGTATCTTGCATCCATAGATCAAGTTTTTGAGAAATTAGCTATTCGGGATGGGAGAAATATAGGTAAGGCACTTACCTTGCATGTACCTGATCTGGATTCTGTCTAGGTCCCAAAGGGCCTGCTAGGAATGATTGCTTATCATAGCGAGGAGTGAGCCAGGTGTGTCCCAAAGCAAAACACTGTTAAGATAACTTATCTGGGATTACTACAGGATTTTTTACCATAAAATGACAGTATTGAAGATTGAGCTTATCACAGAAAAATAAAGATCAAGTGTCAACATTTGAGCTGCTAATGTCTATACTTGGATTATTTGGATAATACAGTAGGAATGACTCCCAAAGGTGATTTTTGTTTGTTTTTGGACTACAGTGAAATCCATAGGTTTCTTCAGGCTCTTCATTCAGGAATTACCCTTAGGGAACCCTATGGGATGCAGGTGCTTGAACCTGGGTTTGCTGCATGTAAGACAAGCACTCTACTGTGAGTTGAAAAAGTGTGGGTGCGCGTGTGTTCGGGGTGGCAAGAAATGCCTACCCAGGCTAGCCAAAGCGACAGAATGAAGGATTGAGGAACAGGGCCCCAGGCTGGTTGGTAATCTGTGGTTTATTTCATTCTCATCCTTAAAGCTTCATTCTCCTACAACATAGTTTGATTCTACAGCGTCATTCTCTACTACTCTCTTACAGTGTAGTTTTCTCTGCCACAGTGTATTTCCCCTTCGCTCCCCCACATAGAAGTCATGAAGGGTAGGGATACACATAGGTGGGGTTTGGACCTTGTAACAGATGCGAAGCCTTCAGGGGAACGTCATCTAGGAGATTAACTGACAAAAATCTCATTTGAGGATTTAACACTCCAGATTACTAGGAGATCCACTCAAGGATGGGATTCCATCTAAGGGGTAGTTTTCTCCTTTCCTCAGCTAGTAATCCATTTAAATAATACTCAATACTAATATTTCTAGTCATTTTGTATGGACACATAAGATATTTAAACGTTGGCTCTTCCTGGGAACATCACTATTCCAGACTGTAGCATTGTCCTCCAGTTGTTATCGATTTGCTCAAGTGGGCCCAGTAATGTCTCCACTGTGAGACTTGTTACTGTGTTTGGCTTATCGAATACATCATGGGTAGCTTGCCAGGCTTTGCTGTGGGGGCAAGATACTCTCAGTAGCTTGCCGGGCTCTCCGAGAGGGGCGGAGGAATCAAACTCCGGTCGGCCCCGTGCAAGGCAAATGCCCTATCCGCTGTGCTATGCAGCTGTGTTAATACAGAAAACAAAACAAAACACTTGGGCAAAGGGACCAGAGAGATATCACAGGCCTTATGCTGCTTACCTAATAGGCTGCTGAGCCTGGTTCATCCTGGAATAGCATATGGTGCCTCCAAACACAGCCAGGAGCACAAGAGTAAGCCCCCACACAGTGGGTGTGTCCATCTCCCTTCCCCTTCCTGCCAGTTATCTTACACAAAAGAAATTGTGCTTCATATCATTGTAACTAATCTTTGTTACAATTCTTGCCAGAATCAGTGAGCCTTTAGTGATTTGATAGGTTATTTATGTATTCCAGAATACAGTCCTCAAGTCAGGTTAGTCTTTCCTAACCCCAGCAGGTTACTCAGGTTATTTCTTTTGGGGTCATGACAGTATTTGTTCCATGATTGTGCTTTTACTGTTACATTTCTTCTAGTGACTTAGTTTGTCCTTTTCTGATGCCATGCCCTAGATCCATCCTTGTTCCTCACTGGGACCCTCCTTTTGGGGGTGTTAGGAAGTAAGGGCTACTGGGGCTTTTAAGTTAGGTAAATATGATGGATGCTCAGGAGTAAATATTTGGAATCAATTAACTCCCATGTTACAAAAGTATAGCATTGACTGTTTTCTTGTGTCTAAACAAAAAGGACATTGCTAACCCATGCAAAGGACTAAAGGAAAGAGAAAAGCAATATAGGATTATTAGTGCCTGATGGAATTGGTTGTGCCTCAAGTGCACTGTTGTGGGAACAACTCAAACCTAAACTCCCTGCGGGAGGAGCAAGGGCAAACCGATGTTATCCAGCACCCTATCTGTTGTACTCTTTTCTCCAACCCCAAAGGTGATCTTTTAACTATTTTCTCCTCTCAATCTCTCATTTTTTTCTCTGATAGGACTCAAGACAACCCAGTTTTCTTGAGTTAATACATATTTTTTTTCTCTTTTTGGATCACACCCGGCGATGCACAGGGGTTACTCCTGGCTCATGCACTCAGGAATTACCCCTGGCAGTGCTCTGGGGACCATATGGGATGCTGGAATCGATCCTAAGTCGGCTGCAGGCAAGGCAAATGCCCTACCCGCTGTGCTATCGCTCCAGCCTCAGTTAATTTGTTTTGGAGGCTGCACTTGGCTGTGCTCAGAATTACTTTCTCCTGAGTCTGAGCTCGGGGATCACTCCTGGAGGACCATATGTTATGCTAGGGATTGAATAGTTTAGCTTCGTGCAAGGCAAGTGTCCTTACTGTACCAAACTCCAGCCTCCGTTTGCTTAAATTTTAAAAAGTACATTTTCTTTGTCCGACTTGAGTGACTGACAAACGTGTGTACAATTGGCAAAGTGAAAGGGGCTTAACTATTTCCTTAGTGTTTTAGGGTAACCATCTTGTATAGGTACATTTATTGTGAACATATTGCAGGAAGCACTACAGAATTATCAGGTCTATAAAAACATAAGAAAACAGTTCTTTCATGCTTTTAGAGAGATCTAGTGTATTGTACTTTTGCTAAAAAAAGTGAGTAGAAACACAAGACCTTTGCATTTTAAGCCATCTAATCTTGTATATAAATATTTAAGGGTATAATTATAAAGAATTTTTGCTTTAGTCAATTAGCTTAAGTTTTGTAATTTTAATACCATGTCACTAGAAGGAAATAGCAATTCATAGAGGTAGTGGGTAATTGAGGTAATAGGTGTCAAATGTGTTTTCCGCTAGTTTTATTGTCAACATATAGTTAGTACTGCATTCTTATTAACCTTGAGAGGTTTCACGTATAGGCAGAATAGGACTCTCCCTCCTTTTTAAAATAAATTTTTTTTAGTGTATCATCGTGAGTAATAGCCCAGTGGGTAGTACCGATCAGAGGTGGAGATGTGGGCTACTCTACCCTCTAGAATGTGGAAATGGATGCGGACAAAAGTGGCCATAGGGTAAGAAAGAACACACCTGGGGGAGATACAGGCAATTGCACCCCAAGGTAAAAGAAAGGAAGTACACATCTCAGGCAGATGTGTACATGGCAAATGCGCACTTTTTCTGCTGCCAAGTATATAGTTTTACCAAATGGCATTCTAAAATCTGTTGCTAGGGTGGGTGCCAAGGGGGAGGGAGTTGGTGGTGGTCTCTTGATACTGTTAACATGATTCTTGGTTCCACAGGTGCAACCTCTTCTCGCAGGGGATCCAGTCATGCTCTGGGCCCGGACTTCTGCATCTTCAAAGGTTTTTGGGCCTGTATTTGAGCCGTTGGGTAGGTTTAGGTTGCAGATAGTTTTTCTACCAATATGCATTACCAGCACCTGCCCTCCATCTCTACCTATTAAAATCTTACCTTAAGTAAGCCATCACCGCCTCTTGCCCTTTTTATCCTTAACCACGCTTAAATTACTGGGTCTGTGACTTTAACCTGCTCGTTGTATAGTACCACATCTAATAATGATTATTTAATATAATGAATGGTTTCTGAATACTGAATGCCGATTACGTGCTCTGGGTATTCAGCTTGGACAAAACCACGTTCCTGGTTCACATTTTACAATCTAATTTGGAAGCTGGGAAGCATAGCTACACGTGTGATTGTGTTATAAAGAAAAATAACCAAGTAAAGCGTGGAGAGGAGTGGCGTGGGAACTTCCGCCAGTCTCCTGAACACGTGACGAAGAACTTGCTGAAAGAGATAAGCTGCGATATCATGTAGTACAGGCGTCACGGCGTCGTGTCAGGAATGACCCTTTCCTCAGAAGACCTGTGGCAACTGCTCGCATTGACGGCGTTACGCGTCCGTGAAGGACGGATCCCGAACCGGGCTGCGAAAGCACCCAGGAAACCGTGGGTTTCTCCGTTCCCGCGCGGCCGGCTCCGCCTATCAGGAAGCGATCTCGCGGAAGGCCCGCCTCCTTTGAAGAAGAAGTCCAATAGCGGACCCAGATGCTCGCAACTGCTCTGACGTCACCCCGCAGCCAATGACAAGCAATAATCTTCAGCCTGGTCCAATAGGATTCGACACGGACCGCGGGCCGCGGAGTTTGATTTTCGTCCAAGGAAGCGGAAGTTGTAAGTCAATCGCGAGGCCCGTGGTAGGTCAGCGGGGGCCCTTGAGGGGATTCCCGGGCTGAGCGAGGGGCTCTAGGGCCCAGCCCGGGGTCTACCTGCCGAGGCGCGCTCGTCGACCCGGGTTGGGGTCTGAACTCGGCTGCATCAGGACCAGCGCAACACCGGGATCCGTCGACGGATAATTCCGAGGCAGGACTCAGTTAACGCTCCGCAGCTCGACTCGGGGCTGGAGTTGTGGGTAAGCCTCGGAGACCGTAGCTGGGTAGTGCTCGCCCCGAGGGAAGCCGTGAGCTGCTTCCCCTGCCCGTCGCCAGTTGGCTCATCGTGTCCTTGGAGCGCTTAGTCTGGACGGTTTAAAAGATGAGTGCGTGTGGTCCTCCGTGAGGTTCTAAATAAACTCAATAAATGTTCATTCATTTAGTTTTAAGTCGAGAGTCTTGACCGGCTTTCGTGCGCCGGTGAGGTGAGGGCTCAGAGCCTCACCCGCCTCAGCCCAAAGCTCTGGAGCTGGGGACAACTCCATTACATTAACTTAAAAAAAAAAAAGAATGATGGATGTTTTTATAAAGGTGATCATGATTTACTGCATTCACTATTCCGACACCAATCCCACCACCAGTGTACCTTACCGTTAATTTAAGTTGAAGGCTTTCTTGCTCTCATTGTTTTCCTGTCTTCTGTTGATGGATATCTGTGCATCCCGTGCATTTTTTTGGGGGGTAAGGGGAGGCGGGGGAGGAGTGGGGGCTAGGGGGCCACACCTAGCGGTGCTTAGGGATCACTATGCTATATTCCTATGCTCAGGGATCACTCCTGATGGGGCTCCAGGGAACAGGTGCGGTGCGGGAGATGTAACTGGGATTGGCAGCTGCCTCTACTATCTCCTCCGCCCCCATGCACTCGAAGTGTACCTTAACGGATAAATTGAAGGTTTTTTTTTTTTTTTGGTTGTTGTTCCTTTGTTTTTACTTCCCCCTGGTTCCCCATTCCTCTTACTATTTTTGACTTTTTACAAAATCTGACCAGAAAAGCATACACTTGACGCAGAATTTATGATTTTTTTTTTTTTTTGCTTTAAGAAGAAAAAAGTGAAGTGCGACTCTTATGTGAAGCTTTTAAGAAAAAGTGGGTTGGAAGTAGCATGACACTGGTGGACCTTTAGTTGTGGTGAGGAAGGTAATCACCTACAGTGAAACTGCAAACATTAACACTATTGTAAACTAATACATTACATAGTAAAATAACATCTTTTCTAATTGTAGGAAGTGCGGGTATTACTGAAAACAGCTCCAGTTGTATCTTGCAATGCTTATGTGCGTTTCAGTTACTTCATATCCTTTATGCAACATTTGTCAAAAATAATTTTTCAATTTTTTTCCTCCAAGACATCAAGAAACCAGTAATGTTTCCTTGAGTTTGCTTCTGTATTTGCTTCATCAATGTCTCTCATATTGAATATCTTAAGAGAGATGCTGGAATATTTTGGTGTTCCCATAGATCAGGTAAATAAATGACTTAATGGACTTGAAGGTATCTGTTATAGTTGTTCTTGTGTCTCATTTTGAAAATGATTTATACATTTTGGTGGTAGGAAATGTACACTGGTGAAGGGATGGGTGTTGGGGCATTATATGACTGAAACCCAGTCATGAACAACTTTGTAACTGTGTAATAACTATGATTCAATAATAAAAAAAAAGATTTATATGTAAAATTTGGGCTAGAGCGATAGCGCAGCAGGTAGGGCGTTTGCCTTGCAAGCGTCCAACATGGCTGACCTGAGTTCGATTCCTCTACCCGTCTCAGAGAGCCCGGCAAGCTACCAAGAGTATCTAGCCTGCACGGCAAAGCCTGGCAAGCTACCTGTGGCGTATTCGATATGCCAAACACAGTAACAACAAAGTCTCCAATGGAGACGTTACTGGGCCCGCTCAAGAAAATCGAACAACGGGAGGACAGTGACAGTGACATTGTGCACATAGGTGTGACTACCCAATATTTGTCTTTCTCTTTTGCTTCGCATAAACTCCATTAATTTCTAATGATTTTAAATGGCAATATTTCCTTTTTTGATAGCTGAAAAGTATTGTGAATATATCCCACTTTTTTTTTTTTTTGGCTTTTTGGGTCACACCCGGTGATGCACAGGGGTTGCTCCTGGCTCTGCACTCAGGAATTACTCCTGGTGGTGCTTGGGGGACCATATGGGATGCTGGGAATTGAACCCAGGTCGGCCGTGCGCAAGGCAAATGCCCTTCACGCTGTGCTATCGCTCCAGCCCCATATCCCACATTTTTATGCAGTCTATGATGTGCAGTTCTGTTGTTTCCTTAGCTGGTGAAATAGGCTGCAAGTGCTAGAAAGATGCTATGGAGGTTTAGGAGTTTGCCTTGCTTTAGGCCTACTCTGGTTTTATCCTGGCACTTCATATGATCCCCTCACTACCAGCAGGAGTTAAACCTAAGCATAACCGGCAGTGGCTTAGCACCCCACTCTTCCCAATAAACAAATTAGGGCTGCAGTAAAGATTGAGCTAGGTATAATTTTTGTAGTTGACATCTTCAGGTTGGCACTCAGAAGTGGAATTGCTAGATCATATGGCAGTTCTATTTTTAACTTATTGAGGAAATTTCACAGAATTTTGAATGGGTGCACCAATTTATAGTTCCACAAACAATTGCTTTCTCTACATTTGCCAGTGCTTGTTGCTCAGTTTGATGTACAGAATTCTCACGTTGTGAGGCAGTTTCTCATGGTTTTTATTGTATTGACCTAGTAATAAATTATAATGAGTGTTTTCATTTTATTTTTGACAGTCTGCATGTTATCTTTCTCTTCCTCCTTCTACCTCTCTTCCATATCCTCTTCCTCTTTCCTCCTTTCTACTCTTCCCTCCAAATTGGCCACATGTGAAGTGAGCATACTTCCCCCAACCCCCCTTCCTTTCTCACTCTCTGGATCAACCATACAAAGCAAGCACCTTACCTCCTATATTATTGCTCTGGCCCTATGCTCTATTTTGTTGTTGTTTTGTTTTTAGTTTTTTGGCTACATCTGGCAATGTTCAGGAGTTACTCCTTACTCTGCGCTCGGGAATTACCTCTGGGAGGGCTTGAGGAACCATATGGGATGCTGGGGATCGAACCCTGGTCAACTCCAGGCAAGACTGTTGTCCTGCACATTGTAATAACTCTCTGGCTCCGTAGGCTCTATTTCTGTAAAAATTTCCTAGCTTTCCTTGATTACCAAATTCACTGGCATGTAGTTGTTTACAGTAGTCTCTTATGATCCTATGCGTTTTTGTGATGTCTACTATTGTGAGGCCAGTTAATGGAATTTTAATGTTTGTTAGATTTAGGTGTTTGAAGATGAACAAATAATCTTAGAATCCCTGTTATTAAAAAACAAAACAATGGCATGACTTTGCATAGATGGATTCTGTGTGTTGATATCCCAAATCTATCTTTTCTAGACCCAATTTTTTTCAAGTTGCCCTATACCTTCAGATTTTACCAGTATCATATGTTTTGTATGATGATGATTTCCAAATCAATTTTCTAATTCTAGTTGTTCTACTGAGTTCCAGAACTCTTTATGCACTGCTCAATGGATATATTGTTTACCACATTTCCCATGAGGATACTGCTCTTGATAAACTTTGTTCTTGTTATGGGACCTTAGGAAAACTCTAATTTCATTTTCTTATGCCTTTTGAAGGAGAGAAATGCTTTCTTTGTGTTAATCTTTGTCATAAGAATATGTTATGCCAGGTTTTGGGGAGGTTCCTATGCACATAGTTTATCTCAGTTTGGATGCCCTAAAAGACAGAGTGCTGTTTGAGTTTGGTAGCACATTTAATTACTTTTATCTTTCCTGTAACTGACTTCCAATAGTTGTATTCCACCACAAATAAGGAACTTTAAAATTGTTAGAGTGATTTATTTTTCCTTCTTTAAGGAAATTCATTTCATGAGTATACACTGTATGAATCTAGATTATTGCTTGAGAGGTTGACGTTGTCAATTTTCAGAATGAAAATAAAGGAGTTTCTGTGGATTGAGGGGGAGGCAGTTTTTCTGAACAAAGTTGTGCATGAGAATAGGATAAAATAAATGTAAAATGCTGTTTTGAAAGAATTGTGCCTTCCTGGAATATGTTAACTTTCAACTTTGTTTTATTTTTCTGACTACACTTGGCTGTGCTCAGGGCTTATTCCCGACTCTGTGTTTGGGAATCACTTCTTGTGGTACTCAAGGGACTGTGTGTGGTGCCTGAGATAGAACAGGGGTCAACCTCATCCAAAGCAAACCCTGTGCTATCTCTGTAGTCCCCACCGCTAACCACCCTATCTGTTTGTTTAGCCATATCAAGTGGTACTCAGTATTTACTCTTGGTTCTTTGCACAGAGATCATTCCTGTCTGCTCAGGCTAACATGGTACTGGGGATCAAACCAGTCTTGGCTGTGAACGCTCCACCAGCTCTACCTGCTGTACTATCACTCCAGCCCCACAATCTTTTTTTTTTTCTTTTTAAAGCAAATATAAATAAAATTTAATTCTTGAAGAAAAATACTTTGAGTATGCCATTCTGTTTTTTTTTCTTTTGTAAAATAAATATCTCTTCTAAGTCAGTTTTTTTCATAGACATATAATCATGCTCAGTAGATTACTTTCAAAATAATGCTTTATGTTTAAATAGGTTTTGCGTATTTGGGAAAATAAAGACTATGGATCAGCGCGGAGCATTGTTCGTATGATTGGGAAAATTCTTCCTTTAGAACCTTGTCCTAGGCCCATTTTTGAGGTAAGTCAGTTAACATTTGCTATTGAAGCATACTGGAGGAGAAAAGCATCCTAGGTTCTCTTAGGGATACACACTGAACCACAGCAGAACTGGAAACATCCTTTACCTTCAATTTTGTGCTACTTTGTCTCTTTAATTACATTCAAAGACCTATTATATACAGCAACACTTGGGCTTTCTCTTTTGGTGATTTAAGCAGGGGAGATTATATTGCTCCATGTTTAGATATAAATTTTTTTCCCCTTAAGTAATTGAGCTTTTGAGGGTAGCTTTAGGTTCACAGAAAAATTAGGTTCACAAAAAAAAGGAAGACACAGAGATAGTCTCCATAGCTGCTACTCATCCGCATATGTAGCGGCCGCCATTAACAACATCTGCCATAGAGTACTGTGAAGGATATACATGGCATGACAGGATGGCCGTAAATTGATAAGATTCTTGTACATCTTGTACATTGTATGGTACATTTTATGGGTTTGGAGAAATCTGCTGTGACTTATAATGGGTCATTATAAACCATACAGAGTACTGTCATTGCTCATTCCTCCCATCACTCAATCCCAGATCTCAGATGACCACTGATTTTTTTTTAAATTGTGTCTGTAGTTTGCTTTTCCCAGACTGTTATACAGTTAAATCACACTATTACATAACCTTTTCTCGTTGGTTTTTCACTTAGATGTCTGGACTCAAGTTTCCTCCATGTCTTTTCATGTTTTGACAACTCATTTCTTTTTAGCTTTGAAAATAGACCTCTCTATGCCTGAATGTAACATGGTTTACTGATCCAGAAATTTTCACTTCACTGAAGGATATTTTGGGTACTTAGGTTTTAGAACAGAGTGAATTTGTCCTGCTGACCCTTTTCCAGGGGAAAGAAATTACTCAGTGCTCCCCTGGGAATCCAGCTTTTTAAAATGACCCCCAATTGTACCCTGACTTCCTTGTTTCAGCATCCCTGGCAAAAGCACTGCTGTAGAGTAACATTTTTCTTAGTATAATTTCTTACTAAGAGGTATGTGTGTTTGCATTTAGTATCCTTTTTTTTTTTTTTTCATGCTCAGATTTTTAACTTAATGGTGCCTGTGGCTTTTCCTTTTCTTCAGAACTCATTCTTTTTCTTTTCTTTTTTTTTTTTACTTTAGTTGACCCCAGTCTTGAACTCTGTAGGCTCGGGTAACTTTGGATCTGTAGTTCCATCTTTTGCTGATATTTCGTGGGTGGCAAATGATGAAGAAGCCAGTTATTTCAGCTTCCGGTAATTTTATATATTTTTCTTAAAAATTGGAGGATGAGCTATATTCTCACTTCTTGTCTGTACTGGTTTGTTCATACTAACTGAAACATTTCTGTTTTGTCTGTCTCTTACTGTTCAGATCTTTCTCATTTTCAGTTACCTTTTCTTAAACCTTAAGGCAGACCTTGGAAGGAATGATATTAGAAAGATAGAAGGGGCCAGGGAGCCAGCTCAAGTGGTAGGCCATGTGCTTGCCATGTGCACGGCCCTCAGTTCCATCCCTTGCCCCGTTGGGAACACTGCTCCCTGGTACCCTCCTCCTCAGCTCCATGGAACCCCAGTGGAAAAAAGATACTAAAATCCCTATGTTCATTTTAAGGATTGCTATTCATTATCCTAGGTAATTTATTTTTATCTTCTGTGTAGTTAAAATTTATATAGGTGATCTCTTATAAAACATGGGAGTTATGAGGCCCAGGAGATTGTACATTGGGTAAAGAAAACTCTTGCACACGCCTGACCCAGGTTAGATCCCTAGCACCATATTATGGTCTCCCAAGTACTGTAGGACTGATCCCAGAGCTCAGAGCCAGGAGTAAGACATGAGCTTAGTTGGGTTTGGCCCTTAAACCAAAAAGAAACCAAAAAACATGGAACTTAGGGGGACAGTCTCCTAACCACTGAGCTGAAATTACATACATACAACTTTCAATTCCTCTAGAACTTAACTATTAAAATGGCCTGCTGTTGACTGAAATTTGGGATATAAGTAGTTGGTTAATATAATTTTTATGTGATCTGTGTGATGTATTTTTTTATGAAAGTTATCTAGAGAAAAGATTATTAAAATCATAAGAAGCACACAGTGGGGGTCTGTAGTAATAGTACAGTGGATAGGGTGTTTGCTTTTCAGGCAGCCAACCTGGGTTCCTTCCCCAGCATCCCATATGGTTCCCCAAGCATCACCAGGAGTAATTCCTGAGTGCAGAGCCTGGAGTAACCCCTTAGCATTGCTGGATGTGGCCCCCAAGCAAACAACTCCCCCGCCCCTTGAAAACCAAAGAAAAGCACACTTGTGCACTGTGCTATATTTTTGGATACTGTGCATTTATCTCATTTGTTTATAAAAAGGTCTGTAGGTAATTTGACCCTTACATTTTAACCGGTGTTGCTCAAGAGTTCATGCTCTAGAATCTTGACTGTTCACCAGACAATGTTAAATATTTTTTAAGACGTATGTGTTACTTTTTCGGTGGGCTCACTTTTGTATAAGTACAGTTGGACACAAGCTGTAAGCAAAACAGTGAATGGTTATTTAGATATTTTGGCTAGATTTATTAGGTATCAAAATTGGTTATCAATTTTCAAAGTTAGACTAATATGTGACCAGAAGTCACCAATACCTTGGATTCAGAGAATATAGGATTTTTCCATAAATCAAAATTTCTAAATAACTCAACTTTTATTTTGTTTAAAACTAACTTGGAGAACAGTTGACTGTGATCACTGATCACCTGTTAAAGCAACATTCTATCCTATATATTGAGAATAAAATGTTCAGATGTGATATGCTTGACTTATGCAAGTCTGGACATAATCATAGGATAGATAAAATGTTTGTTGTCTTTGACTGAAATCTTTTTTTTTTTTTTTTTTGCTTTTTTGGTCACACCTGGCAATGCACAGAGGTTACTCCTAGCTCTGCACTCAGGAATTACTCCTGGTGGTGCTCAGGGCACCATATGGGATGCTGGGAATCGAACCCAGGTTGGCTGTGTGTAGGACAAACGCCCTACCCACTGTGCTATCGCTCCAACCTCTGAAATAATTTTTGGAACTTTTCCTTCCTCCTCCTAATCTTCTTCCCCTCTTTCCCACTCTCTTCCTGTCCTCTCACAGAAATTGTAGATGGGAAAATGAAGAGAAGGAAAAAATGGAAATACTCCATCCTTCACAAGTGGTTTGGGATTCAGTCCCACCAGTTCTAAGACATAACAGCTCAGTGACAAATAGTCGTCCTGAAGGTGACCCTGCAATTAAAAAGATAGCTGTTCTTGAAGAAGAGCTGACTTTCCTCCGCTCTCAGATTGCTGCTCTTGTGAGCCTGTCGGAACTGAAACACAGCCCATGTACTGGTAAGGAGCATTCTAGACTCAGTTCAACTGAGGTGATGCTTAGTGCCTAAATCAAGGCCTATCTGCACTGCACTGTCCTCCCATTTTTTATTGATTTTGCTCGAGCAGACACCGGTAACGTCTCCATTGTGAGACTTGTTACTGTTTTTGGCATATCAAATATGCTACGGGGAGCTTGCCAGGCTCTGTGGTGTGGGTGGGATACTCTCGGTAGCTTGCCAGGCTCTCTCAGAGGAACAGAGGAATTGAACCCGGGTTGGCTTCATGCAAGGCAAATGCCCTACCCGCTGTGCTATTGCTCCAGCCCAAGGCCTATCTGAGAAGGACTATTTGCTGTGAATGCATTTTATGAACATAGCAGTGTGGTTGGCTAGATGTAATTACTATTTTTTTCAGAAAAGATAGATTTGTGGTGAGGAGGATGATTGATTTCATTGATGATTGATGATTGCTTTAAGATGACCTAGCTATGGTGTTAAAGATAATTTTTGTGGAGAGAGGGTCTCCCCACAGCGCTGTGCTAGGGGCAGGGGTGGAATTCAGTGCTGGAGCTCTAACCCTCGGCTTCCTACAGGTCAGGCAAGTGCTCCAACCTCCGGCTCTCCAGCCCTGACGATTACTTTTGTGTTCAGAACCTTATTTTCTAAGTAAACTTAAATCTGAAGCAAATTGCATTAATTTGAAAGAAAAGTTCAAGTTTAAGGCTTTATATATATGCTTGATGTTATTGCTGAACTTTCACCAAGTTTAGGTGAACAGCAGTGATCCTTTTCCAGGTAGTCTTTTTCCAGAATTTTAGAGAGATAACTTTCTTTAACTAATAAACATCCCCACGTATGTATTTATAGTCATATCCAAACACATGTATAATGGAATATCACATTTATGACATATACTGTACATGATGGGCTGGAGTGATAGCACAGCCGTAGGGCGTTTGCCTTGCTCGCAGCCAGCCCGGCCGAGCCGGGTTCGATTCCTCCGCCCCTCTCCGAGAGCCCGGCAAGCTACCGAGAGTATCTCGCCCGCACATCAGAGCCTGGCAAGCTCCCCGTGACGTATTCGATATGCCAAATACAGTAACAACAAGTCTCATGATGGAGATGTTACTGGGCCCGCTCGAGCAAAATCTATGAACAACGGGAGGACTGTACATGACATAATTACTTTTTGTTTTGGGGCCATACCTGGCAGTGCTCAGGGCTTATTCCTGCCTCTGTGCTCAGGGATTACTCCTTGTGGGCTCGGTGAGTATATGGAGTTTTGGGGATTGAACCTGGGTCAGCTACCTGAAAAGTAACTGCCCTCTCTGCTGTACTATTCCTCTGGCCCTATACTTATGTCTGTTTGATAATATATAACGATAAGATATGAGAACATTATTTTTTAGTAGAAGTGTTATACATAGTAGGAAGAAATTTGTCTTGAAAAGTTTAAGTATTTATGGGGCCAGAGAGCACAGTGGTTAGGGCACTTGCCTTGTACATAGCTGACCCAAGTTTGATCTATGGCACCTCCGTCTGGTCCCCCAAGCACCATCAGGAGTGATTTCTGAGTAGAATCAGGGTAACCCCTGCTTGGTGTAGCCCAAACACTTAAAATCAAATCCCAGAACGAAAAATTAAGTATTTATTGTCCGTGTCAGACCCTTTCTTAAAAAGTATATCCTTAGATATTTCTGCAGTGTCATTACAAAATGATTACACCAGTTTGAATGTTCCTGGTACAAGCTGTTGATTACACTTAGCTTTTTAAAATAGAGAATTATTGGGAAAACGCTCTTTGTTTTCTCTTTAAATTACATCCTCCACCCCCTTTCTTCCATTTAAGAACCTGCTAAGAGAGACTCCTAATTGGATTTTAAACAAATTTGCTATCTGCATTGACTCTTACAGAAATTACTAAGCAGATGGAATTGTTTCTCCTGCCTTATTTTAGTAGTGTTAAAGAAATTGTTTCGGTTGTGAGTCTAATTAGTGTCGGGTGAGAGAATTCTGCATGGTTTCTCATCTGACGGTTTTGTGTTTAGGCTCCTTGGACTTGAATGAGGGGCCTGATGGCTTGGGACTGATGCCACCGTCAGAGGCTGCTCTATCAAGTGTTGCACCGGATCCGTTTCCAAGTTCAGTGTTTCCTTCTCCTCCTCCTCCGCCTCCACTGCCCCCCTGCCTTTCTTCTCTTCAGTCTCCATACTCTGGTTCTAATAATGTATGTGACTCTGGTAACTCGGCAACTGAAACGAAGAAACAGCAGCCAGGTGACAGCAAGACCAATCATAGTTGCTCCGAAACTCAGAAAAGCCACGATGTTCCAAATATGCTGGATGTGCTGAAGGACCTGAATAAGGTTAAGCTCCGTGCCATTGAGCGGTATGTTGTCATAGTTGGAGAAAAGAACAGAAACTTGAAAGGAAACATTGATTAGCCTTCTCTCTTATTAGCCTTTTAAATGTCTTTTTTAAATTGTGTTTCTTACTCCCCCCCCCCCCCCCTTTGGGTCATACCTGACGATGCTCAGGGGTTATTCCTGGCTCTGCACTCAGGAATCACTCCTGGCATTGCTTGGAGACCACATGGAATGCGGGGATTGAACCTGGGTCAGCCACGTGCAAGGCAAATTTCCTCCCCTCTGTACTATCACCCCGGCCCTTCTAAAGTAAACATATTAATCTGCTCTCTTCACTTCACCTCAAATATCTCACCCAGAGCTATTTTTTTTAATCAGCTTGACTCTTCTTGTGTCTTATCTTCATATTTTTGAAACAATTTATTTTTGCTATTTCTTCCTTTTTTTTTCCCCTTCTGATTTTTGGGCCATACTGGTGCTACTCAGGGCTTACTCCTGGCTCTGCACTCAGAGATCACTCCTGGCATGCTTGAGGAGACCATATGCGGTGCCAGGGATTAAACCCAGGTCTGCCGAAAGCAAGGCAAATGCCCTATCCATTGTACTATCTCTTTGACTTCTATTTTTGCTATATATTGATAATCTTGTTTTTTTTGGGGGGGGGCCACACCTTGCAGTCCTCGGGGCTAACTATGGGCTCTGTGCTCAGGGATCATACCTGTCAGGCTCAGGGGACCTTATGGAGTGTTGGGGATAGAACCTGGGTTGGCCACATGCAAGGTGAACACCCTATGAGGTGTACTTTTGCTCTGGCCCTATTTCTTGGTATCTTAATCATATTCCTCTTGTTCAAAATTAGGAACATATTGTCTTAGACATTCTACCTCCTAAAATACTTGAACATATAAATTTCTTGTTAAGACTTTCCAGAAGAGTAAAATTACAGTTTTTAGTTAAATCACTATATATAAATTATAAAAATATATATAAATTTTTTGGGGGGCCACAATTGGAGGCACTCAGGCTTGTTCCTGGCTCTGTTTCTGGTGGAGCTCAGGGAGCCATATCGGGTGCCAGGGCTTAAACCTGTGTTGGCTTCCTGCAAGGCAAACATCCTACCCACTGTACTCTATTGCTCTGGCCTCTACAGGAAAGCCATTTCATAGACCAAGGCGCGTCAGTTTCATCCTTGGTTGGTTATTCTTTTCAGCTTAGAGCCTGTGGTAATACTAGACACTGGATGGAGATTGATGTTTTGTGATTGAATGATTTTTTTCCTTTTTATTGGAGTTAAAAGTTGCCTTCCAGAGGTTGTAGCGGAAGTATAGTGGGTAGGGAGCTTGCTTTGCCTGCAACCGACCTGGGTCAATTCCTGATATCCTATATGGTTCCCTGAGCACTACCAAGAGTAATTTCTGAGTATAATAATAACCAGGAATAATAACCACGCGCTAATATTGCCGCCTTTGGCCCCCAAACAAACAAATATTGCCTTCCAATTTTTTTTCTTAAGTTTCCTTTTAGGATCCTTCCTCCTTTGTTTTTTTTTTTTTTTCCTTTTGGGTTATACCCCAAAAAGTGTACTTCATATAGGCAGGGATTACTCCTGGCTCTGCATTGAGGAATTACTCCTGGCAGTGCTGGGGGACCATATGGGGTGCCGGGGATTGATCCTGGGTCAGCCGTGTGCAAGGCAAACGCCCTACCCACTGTACTATTGCACTGTACTATCGATCCTTTCTTCTTTCCACCTGCACATAACACCCATTTGTGAACCCCCAGAATGGCCACTGCTTACCCCAGCCTAAGCACAGGCTTACCTAAAGGCATGTAAGTTTCCTCCTCTTCCTTGGTTGGTTGTTCTTTGCAGCTTAGAGCCTTTGGTAATACTAGACACTAGATGTAGATTGAATGAGAAAATGGGCAGGTGAATGAATAAGTAATTGCTTCATAGTTTTCGTTTCATAAAATTTATAGAGTTAAAAAAGTTCTCTCTTATAAATTTTTCTATCCACTGGGAAATTAGGGGTAAAAAAAGATTTGTAGCATGGAGATTTTTGATAAATTCTAGGAACTCTGCCAATATGGTTCCTTATTTTTTGATTCTTAAAATCACTGTAGTCAATCCAGATTCCTTATTCCATAGCAAATGTTTCAGTCTCTCAGAGACTCTAAGTAGTTTGTAATATGATATTTTTGTATTTCAATTATACTATTCAACAGGTGCTTAAATGAACAGTTTTAATTTATTTAATTTATTTTAGGTCACCTGGAGGTAGACCTGTTCAGAAGAGGAAAAGACTAAGTTCACACTGGGATCCAGTGTCTGTAATCTCTCATGCGCTTAAGCAGAAATTTGCATCTCAAGAAGATGATTCCTTTGAGAAAGAAAATAGGTCTTGGGAATCTACTCCATTTTCTAGCCCAGAGATTTCTAGGGTAAGCTATTAATAATGTAATCAGCTTTTCTGGAGTATTGTTCATGATGTAACTTTGCCTAGAAGTTCTCTGAACCAGTTATTAAGTGTGGTCTGTATAATTGTTGATAATACTAAGGTTTCAGCAGTTTTTGTTAATATTAGGTGCTCATTTTAGCTTCCTGCCTATATGAAGTATTTTTTTTTTATGTAGGAGTGCGCTATTTATTCAACCACTGTTTAAGCTGATTGAATTGTGCATGAACTCCACCTTACTTTTTCTTTTTTCATTTTTCATAATTTTATTTATTGAATAACCGTCAGAGCAGTTATAAAGCTTTTGGGTTTAAGTCTCGGTCATACAGTGAAACCCCCGTACCTTCACCAGTGCCCATTCTCCACCACCAAAAACCCCAGTATATCTCCATCCAAAACCCTCCCCCTACCTGTGGGGCAGATGATTTCCAAATTACTCTCTCTCTACTTTGATTACATTCAATATTTTGACACCACACCCACCATTATTATTTGGGATTTTACCCCAACACTCAGATCTGCCAAAAAGGCAACAGTAGACAATTTGTTTTCTATTGCTGGTTATGAATAACATATGATATTGCGTGGCTGCAGTAGTGGCCATGCGATTTTGAAATTCTGAAATTTTAACAACTAAATCTGGAGGGATTTCATGCCAAAACCTGCTGGATTCCGAGATTTGTTTCTGAGTCTCTGGGATCATGGCCATTAAGCAGCTTGATTAGGAGCCAGAGAGGCTGTTCGTGGGCGGCGACTCGGTGTCTTGTTGGGACGGGGAGGAAAGGGCCGGCTCCACCCCCATCCAGTGAGGCCTCTCGTGTCTCGTCACTGAGGGCCCAAACCTGACTGTCCAATGGCCTCTGGCAGATGGCGGCCACCGAGCCGCCAAGGGGGAGCAGGCGGAGGGACAGCACCCTTTCCTTCATGGGGTGGCCCAGCAATAGCAACCTACTGCGTGGTCCGGACGCATTTCTGCCACAAGCTGCTGGGTTTTGAGATTTGTTTCTGAGTCCAAACCTGACTGTCCAGTGGCCTCTGGAGGATGGCAGCCACCAGGCCGCCAGGGGGAACAAGCCAAGGCACGAAACCTATTCCCACCTGGGGTGACCTGGTGCTGGTAACCTACTGCAGGGACCAGACGCATTTTTGCCAAAAGCCGTTGAGTTTTGAGATTTGTTTCTGAGTCTCTGGGATCATGGCTGTTAAGCAGTTTGATCAGGAACTAGAGAGGCCATGCCTCCAGTTACATAGGTGAGCCGGAGGTGGTTTGTAGATGTGTTTCCCACATATCTAACTTTTGGCCGTTTACTTTCTTGGTAAACTTTGCTCCAAGTGTTTTGGGTCTGGCCAAAGGCACAGCAGCAATTTTGGGGTATCTGGAAGTTTGAAAGCGCCATCAGGCTGCTGATGCACTTGCCTCACAGGTACAGATTGACCTGCTGACGGAACCATATCCCCTATATGAAGTATTTTGAAATAAAACACTTTACTTGAAAAATATCTGCATAAGTTTATGATCGTTTACAGGGACTAACTTGATGTATGAACTGGTAGGAACTTTGGCAGAAACTTTTCAAGAAAAGAATGTTGCCACAGATTCAAACCAACTAAGATGAAATGTGAAAACTCCAATATTGTTCTCAATTAATAAAAAAAAAGCTTGGGATTGCAAAAGGTGTTTTTCTGGGGAGGGTTGGGGTGGGAGTGTGTGCTCCTAAGTGGTGCTCAGGTAGCTCAGCGCCCCACCTGTGATTCTCAACAGCTGTGTAGGTGATGCACTGCCCTGTAGCGCCCAGTACCTGGACTCTCCAGGAAGTTCTGGGAGCCTGTAGGCTTGCATCTGATGCTGCTCAGGGGATCAGTCAGGAATTGATCTTAGGTCTGCTGCATGCTAGGCATTTGCCCTAACTGCTGTGCTGCTTCCTGGCTCAGGATATAAACATGAGAGAAAAAAAAAAGTATGATAATCTTCAATGACAGTGCTTCTTGGACACAGTATTTCAAACACTCAAGCTGCTGACACAATTTCAAACACTGCTCCTTTCCTGAGATTCCCATTCTTTGGTTTAGAAGTAATCCTAATCTGAGAGGTGGTTTTCCTATTTGAGGGAGAACATGAGAAGCAGACTGGGGAACTAGAGGAGAAAGAAGGAAGGACAGTTAAGTGAATCGAATGACTGGCAGAGCTAGCAGGAAACAACTGGAAAACAGAACTTGTCAGATAGGCTGAAGAGTGAGTCACGAGTAGTTCAAGTAGTCAAGTCATTGGATGTGCACACATATACACTGTGTGTGATGTTTGACATACCAAGAGAATGGCAGCCTTGATGGCGAGACAGTTCACACAGGGCTCAGTCTGATTCCTCCCTGCTGCTATTCGGAAGCAGGTGGATAAGGAAAGGGTCCTGGTCCAAAAGTGTTCCAAAGATGAGCTGGTCAGGACAGTGAAATGACTTGTCATGAAGTAGCCAGTTAGTAGACTAGAAATATGCCCATTAAAAATGACATATTTTGACTTATTTTTATAAAGTTCACAAAAATTTATTACATTCAGTATTCCAACACCAATCCCACCACCATTACACCATCCCCCCACCATTTCGAATTTTCTCAACCACCATCCAAGCCTTTCTCAAAGCAGGCCCTAAATAAGTCAGTTATTGCTTGTCATGAATAATTTGCTAAAAATGATCAAAAAAAGGTTTCCTTTGAAGAATATGTGACAATTGTTGTATCTCCCTGGAGCCATTAAGCTCTTATTGAAGACATTACTAACATATTATTTTTTAACTGAGATCGGTTGCTTTCTTCTTTACATCCATCCAGTGTGGTGTGCTATTCCTGGTATATCAGTGGTATAGAGTATGAGTATAGTATAGCGCACCAGGAAATCTAAAATTTTAAATAAGGTGGAACAGCTGGAGTTGAACTTTTGAACTGGATGGTGACTTTGGGGTCCAGAGGCATCTCTGCTGCTTGTTGATCTCTTCCGAGATTTATATATGTGTCTCTGGATCATGGCCGGTTATTGAGCTTATATGGTACCAGAGGCAGTTTGTGGGTGACTTCCAGGTTCCCAGAAGAACAGGGGGTGAGGGGAGGTCACCCATTCCCAACTTTGAGAGCCTGGAGATTTTGGTCACAAAACCCACATACCTGAGTTTTAAAAATATGGAGCACTTCACAAATTTGAGTATCATCCTTTCCCAGGGGTCATGCTAATCTTTTCTGTATTGTTTCAGTTTTAATAGATGTGCTGCTGAAGAGAGCAAAAAAAAAATGATATTTAAAACTAAGAAATGCATCGTCTAAAATGTTTATCATAACACTTTTATAGAAGTTTATATAATTTTTTTTTCTTTTTGGGTCACACCTGGTGATGCAAATGGGTTACTCCTGGCTCTGCACTCAGGAGTTACTCCTGGTGGTGCTCAGGGGACCATATGGGATGCTGGGAATCGAACCTAGGTCGGCCGTGTGCAAGGCAAACGCCCTACCCACTGTGCTATCTCTACAGCCCCAGAAGTTCATGTAATTTTTCACTCATTAGATTTTCACAGCAATGTCTTTAAATATAAAACAAAAGGCTGTAGCTGGGGACGATAGCTCAGAGGGCTGGAGCACACACTTTGCATACAAGAGATCCAAGTTTGATTCCTAGCACTGCCAGTTGTGACTTCAGAGCAAAAGGAAAGAGGCAAATCTGTTTTATGGACGAGGAAGATGAGCCTAACAATGCTGAGGTGATATGCCTACAGTTCCACATGGAAGTGGTTTATTAACATCTAGAATGTTTGAAAGCCTTCAAAGAATCTTGTGTCAAACACTACTTCTCAGCAATTGTGGATTGTGAGCTATCCTGGATTGTCCTATACTGTTCACTGTTCCAGCATTTTCTCTTAAACTGAGAACACCCCAGAACTATGTTTTGGTGTCTTTTATAGCACTGAATGAGGCTGTAGAAACTCTGAAACAGTAGCTGCTGGGAACTGGGCGCCTGAGACCATCTCCCTGGTCTCTGTCCTCAGCTCTGGCCTCCGCTGCCGCCTCATCCTCTCCAAGCTCAGTTGACTGGAAGGAATTAAACTGCCAAGGGTCATCGGATGCTTGTGTTGCCATTCTTTTGAGAATAATTTCTAACAATGATTTTGGCTGTCAAATAACTCCTGTGTTCCACATTTGCTCTGTTTCAGTTGGGACATCACAGCTTGCAACCTGAAACTCAGTGAACTCAAGAAAGAACCGAGAGACACGAGAAGGGCAGGCCAGGGTGTGAGCAACCCGTGCCAGGGAAAGGTGGCACCTGTGAGCAAAGCGCCTCGTCTCTGGATGGAGTGAAAGGCGCTGTGTGTACCAGGCCATCTTGGTGCGGGGCTTCTGGACGTCCAACACCCTTCAGAGTGTCTGGAACAGACCTTAAGAGGCAGAGCACAGGGCTTGCATATAGGAGGCCTGGGTGTGACCCTGGTAACTCATGCTGTGTCTCACGTCCCATCAGTGCTGTCTCTGTCTTCCCCCAGGCCCCATCTGTGACCCCCCCTCATCAAGGCACGTCTGGTTTTCTCCAAAGCCAACCCTCCCCAAAATTCACCAATGATAAGGAATTTTGATTTTTTTTTTCCTGATATATGTTAATGTGATTAGAAGCTGACTATTCTTTGGATGGTTTTCCTAAGAACTAAATAGTAAATGACTCTTAGACCATGTAAAGAACCCTACTATAAAGTAACAGGAAACATTTTACTGGGCTAGGAAATTAAATATAATACTACTCAGAAACTAATGGTGTAATTAAATTTTTAAAAAATTCTCTTGGGATGGGGTTTGGGTTGTTAACTTGACTGTGCTCAGGAATTCCTCCTGGCCTGGCTTGGGACTATATGCCATGCTGGGGATTGAATCTGGGTTGCCTATGCAAAAGGCCAGCACCTTAGCTGTTGTGCTTCCTCTCTGGCCCTTAAAAATAATTTATTAAAGCAATTATATCATAATTTAAAAGTCTTTCAACCATTGAAATTGGTTATGATCTGCTTTACTTGACCTCCAGGAACTTGTAGATTTTCAAAGGATATACAAATTATAATGGTTTCATTAAAACATTTTATTTTTAATTTTTTTGTTTTTTTGGCCACAGCTGGTGGTACTCAGGGCTTACTCCTGGCTCTGTGCTCCTGATCACTCTTGGCAGAACTGGGGGACCACACCACCATGTGGTGCTTGGAATTGAGCCTGGGTTGGCTGTATACATGCAAATACAGTATCTGCTATACTATAGCTCCAGCCCTTCTTTAAGATAGTTTAAATCATATAGATTGATCCTTCTAAAAATTCTTACAAGGTGATTCTTCAGTGTTAAAGAGTATTTAAAGAGTGTTAAGAACTTTCCCCTACACTTGGTATGTAAATATATATGCATATAATTTTATTTCCTTTTGGATTGATGCACTGACACGCTGCTTTGTAAATAAACGTACCTTTTAAACTTGATTGTGTCCTGTGGCCATTCAAATTCATACTGCTTAGGGAAATCTGCAGTCATGTTTGGGTAAGTTGATCCAGCACCTAAATTTGGAATCCATGTCAAGTGCTCCTCCGACTCTGTACGAAAGTGCTGTGTGCAGGTGGTGGCCCGTTTCGCATGATGGGTCCAGCCCCCAAGTGGTACCAGGCTGTCATTTCTGAAAAGTCGTTGGCCACAGTTCTTGGGGCTAAAAGAGTTGGCTATCTGTCCGATGCTTTGATCCTTGTGTTCTCTCTGCCTCTGGGCCAGGGAGGAGTGGCTAAGGAACAGGCTCCTGGCGACCAAGGTGAGTCCCCTGCTGTCCTTCCCTGATTATTGACGGGCCCCCTGCAAGTGTCTGCAGCCTTAGCTGAGCAGAGAAATGAAGAAAAGATAACCGTTTTTGGTTTTTGTTTGTATTATTTTGGGGTCACAGCTGGTGATGCTCAGGGGTTACTCTGCACTCAGGGATCACTTCTGGCAGTGCTTAGAGGATCATCTGGGATCGTAGGAATAGGGTTGGCTGCATGCAAGGTGAGAGCCCTACCTGGCTGTACTATTGCTCCAGCCCAAGTTGCTTGTTTTTAACATCCAGCTTCTGTGTACTTGTAGTTGAAAGCTGTTGTGATGAGCGTAAAAGCTACATAGCATTATTACCTGCTGGTTTCTCCTGCCCAGTTTATCCTTTTATCAATTGTTCATTTGTTCTGTACATGTCCCTTACCCTTTCTCTTTGCTTATCCTTGCCATGAAGCTCTTTTCCTCTGAAAACAAGTTTTTTTAATATACCGAGGTAGCCTCACATTTCCAGTTTTATGGTTTTCTTACTAAAATGTAATTAACAGGGTGAGAGATAGTACGGCAGATATGGCGTTTGCCTTGCATCTGGTCCACCCAGATTTGATCCCTGGCACCCCATATAGACTCCTGAGCCCTGCCAGGAGTGATCTCTGAGTACAGAGCCAGGAATAAACTCTGAGTACCATTGGATGTGACCTACACCCCACCACTCCACACTCCCTCCCCCCAGCCCCCCAAATTAACAGTCAGTGGGAAATAGTCTTTGGAAATAAGGTGGCATCCTCTGCCAAGTGAATTTTTTTCCTTTTATTGGGTATATTTTTGGGCCATACTGGGTGTCTTCAGTGCTTGCTGCTGGCCGTGTTCTCAGCATTCACTTCTGGCAGTACCCCAGAGGCCCTGTGTGGCGCCAGAGATTGGGTCATGGTCAGCTAAGTGCAAGGGAAGCTACTCAACCCTTGTACTATCTAGATTCTGAAATGTTGGTTTAAATTTTTATTCAAAGGTTAACGTGATGTTGCATTACAAGATTATTTCAGACCTCTTCAAAATATGTTACCACCTGTACCTACCACCAAAGTGCCAATATTCCTTCACCACAATCCCTTGGAGAGCCCGGCAAGCTACCGAGAGTATCTTGCCCGCATGGCAAAGCCTGGCAAGCTCCCCATGAGGTATTCGCTATGCCAAACAATAAGTCTCACAATGGAGACATCGAGCAAATCGATGAACAACGGGAGGACAGTGCTAGAGTGCTGCACAATCCCCACCTCGGATGGCTCCATTTTTCCTCCCCCACCTCCCCCTTTGGTAACCAAAATTCTCCATAGTAAAAAAAATCCCCGCCCCCCACCATTCCTTGTTTTGTTTCTATGTACCCACGTGTGAGTGAGATAGGCAATACTCATCTTTCTCCTGACTTACATGATCTCTCCTCCCATTGTCCATATTGTCGCAAAATGCCAGATTTCATCTCATAGCTGAACGTTTCCTGAGTTGATTTTTTCGGGGAAGAGGGGAAGGGTCAGCTTCTAGTTGAGGATGAATTTTCTGCTTCCCCAAAGCACGTTGAGCACCATGATATATCCGCATTGAGTTGACCCTGGGCTCACCTCTGTTCAAGTATGGTGTTCTGGGAGAATGAGCACATTCCTGGAAATCTGTCAGAGGCCTCCAAGTGGCCTGAGCTTGGTCTCTGGAGAGAACTCTGGGGAGATCCTGAAGGTGAGGGATTCTATGTAGTGCAGTCTCCTCAGAAGCGGTAGCTAATACCTTGGTGTCATTTCAAAAATCATTTGATGCATTTTATTTTTAAACTTTTGATTACGACACCGTGGTTTACAAAGTTATTCATAGTAGAGTTGTTTCAGGCATACGCTGTCCCAACACTGGTCTCACTACCAGTGTCCTCAGGTTCCCTCCCTCCAACCCCCAGGCTGCTCCTTTCACATAACAAATTTACTTCTTATTGCTTGTTCCAACAAAACTCAAAGGAGTGGGATTATCAGAAAATAACTTTAAAAAGTCAATTTGTGGGGCTGGAGCAATAGCACAGCGGGGAGGGCGTTTGTCTTGCACGTGACCAACCCGGGTTCAATTCCCAGTATTCCATATGGTCCCTGGAGCACTGCCAGGAGTAATTCCTGAGTGCAGATCCAGGAGTAACCCCTGTGCATTGCGGGGTGTGACCCAAAAAGCAAAAAAAAAAAAGTCAATTTGTGATGATTGGTTGTTATGTAATTGGAACTTTAAATGTAAAATTAAAATTTTGTTTATGTTAATTAAAATATTTTAATACAGTGTAGCATATTGCCTATTCTCATTAATATAAGTAACTTCAACCCTGACATCATTTGGTACATTTGAAACTTAATGTAAACATACTGTGAGTGCAGAGTCTTCTTACAAGTCATGTGAATAGTAGCTTTGCCTGGTTAAGATGTTCCTCCCATTTGTCTTAGAAGAAAACCCTTTGTTTCTTTCCTAATACCTAGAAATAGGGAGTCTTTTCCATAGTAGGGTCATCTTCTCAACTGATGATTAGCTGATTCCGATGAACTAAACTAAACTGCTTAAACAAGTGCATCTGAGGAAGCGTCTCAATATTATTTCCTATTTAGAAAAAAATGACTTCATAAATACAAATTGGGAAGTGAATTGTTCAAAATCAAACCAGTTGACACAAGGAGAGGTTAAGGCAGAGAGAGCTGAGACTTCTGTGGAGTAAGGACAGACTCTGCGGTGTCCCTAGCTGAACAAAGAGGCATGGGTTGTTAGAGATGGGCGAGAGCTAAAAAGTTTCACTTACAAGACTATATTTCTTCCCTAATCATGACATTGAAATAAAAATCAGAATGGGGAGAAACAGCCCTCTATATGTGAGCAATGGGAAAGGATTGTGCTGGCTATTCAGCACAGGATCTAGACTGGAGGTGAAATCTGCACATGAATCTGTTCTAGATGGGGGAAAAAACTCAAACATTCACTCCAAATAAAGGGTGAGGGTTTCCTGAAAGACACAAAGGGCTAGACAGTGGCTCAGGCTCTTGACGTTGCACACAGCCCCTCTGGGTTCTATCCCCAATACCACTGTGGTTCTCTGAACCCACCAGCAATGAACCCTGAGCACAGAGACCAGAGGAAACCCTGAGCCAAAAAGTCTGCTCCCTCCACACCCCCCACAAAAATGGGGAAGGAGGCAATTACAAAAATATTTTAATGCCACAGTCAAAATTAACATATTATAATAAAAAACGTATTTATTTAGGCCTTTCCGTATTCCTTAAGTTTTTAAGGCACTTTTGAAGGATATACAAAGCAGGATAAAATAAAACTAATAAACGGGAGGAAAATAGCAGTTTCAGATCGCAGTTTTCCTTATTAGCCACAAGAGGGCACTGCAGCCCTGGAGAGCGCTTAAATTGCCAGTATACTGGCTAATCCACACTTTCTTGTTTGTTTTTGTTTTTGAGCCACACCAGGCAATGTTCAGGGGTTACTCCTGATTTTGCACTAGGAATTACAACTGGCGGGGCTCAGGGGACCATGTGGGATGCCAAGGATGGAACCCCTGTAAGCCACGTGCAAGGGAAGCCCCCTACCCGCTGAACTCCCCATAAGCACACTATTTGGGGTTTTGGGTCATACCCTGGTGATGCTCTCCCAGGACTAGCTCCCCCCACCCCCTTTCTTTAACTTAATTTTTTTTTATTGAATCATAACAGAATTTTTAATGATTGCGTTTCAGTTATACACTGCTCCAACACCCATCCCTCCACCATTGTAATTTCCCAGCACCAGTGTCAGGACTAGCTTTAACAGTGGCTTATCTTTCCCAGATCACCTCAGGGGCTTGCGATTGTATGACCCAGGAGGATCCTTTGAAGGGGATGCCACTTGTTACAGGGAGAGTCTGCTTTTGTTCCCGCCCTTAAGGATCCTCCCTTCATCCTCACTGATCAGCTTTTCAGTGCCGCTCTCAAAAGCTGGTAGCTAGGCTGTGTCTGTACTCACCAACATGCCTTCCCTGGAACGTGACAGATTTCTGTCCTCCCAGGCACTGCTGCCTATGGTCAAGGATGACACTATTAATCATAGTGGCTAAATTTGTTGAGCACCTAATTGGTGCTTATCAGTGCGAAGAAATTAATCTGTGGTCTATTCCCTTCTTAACAGATGAGGAAACTGAGGAATAGAGACATACCCTACCTGCAGTTTTACTACAAAAACTATGCCAAGGTTCAAATATTTTGTGGATTCAAACATCTGAGTTCTTGACTGGCTCTCACAACAGATAATGTGACTCTTCCAAAGCAACCTGGTGCCATAATTCTGTCTCTTGGCACTTCATGTTTCCACTACATGGGCATTAGCTTAAAGAACATTCCCCTACTTCCCAACCCCCCTCTCTCTTGTCCAGCCCTGCAACCATTTCTCACTGGTTCACAGGAATCCATGCCTTCTCTCTGTTACTGGATTTATCACAAAACTATAATAATTTCTTTCCAGTTTGCCTTTCCCCTTTCCCACTTCATTGGGCTATTTGAGCATCTTATTCATCTCATTTCCCTCTATATCTAAGCAGCTGCCACAGCAAACAGTGAGGACATCAAATGTGTGAGGAATAGCATCATTTAAAAATGATGCTAATTCAATACCACTCCTGGGAATATATCCCAGAGAGGCAAAAATGTATAGTCGAAGTGACATCTGCACTTGTTTGTTCATTGCAGCACTCTTTACAGTAGCCAGAAACTGGAAGAGACCTGAGTGCCCAAGAATAGATGACTGGTTAAAGAAACTTTGGTACATCTACACAATGGAGTACTATGTAGCTGTTAGAAAAGATGAAGTCGTGAAATTTACATACAAGTGGTACTACATGAAAAGTATCATGCAAAGCGAAATGAGTCAGAAAGAGAGGGATAGACATAAAAAGATCGCATTCATCTGGGGGACATAAAGTAACAAAATAGGAGATTAATACCCAAGAATAGCCAAGATCAGTACCAGGAGGATTACTCCATGGTTTAGAGGCCAGCCGGGCATTCTAGGGGAAAGGGCAGCTCAGATAGAGAAGGGAGGTGTTTGGAGGATACTTCCACTATGGGAGATGCATGTTGAAAGTGACTATGGACCAAACATGATTGCCACTCAATGCCTCTTTTGCAGACCACAACACCCAAAAGGAGAAAGAAAACAAAAGGGAATGCCCTGCCACAGAGGCAGGGTGGGATGGGGGGTTGGGGGTGGGAGGGATACTGGGATTCATGGTGGTGGAAAATGGGCACTAGTGGAGGAATGGGTATTTGATCATTGTATAATCGAAACCAAAGCACAAAAATTTGTAAGTCTACAATTGTACCTCATGGTGTTTCACTAATAAAAATATAAAAAAAATGATGCTAATTGTGCCAGGGGAAAAGGTAGGTGGGATGGAGAAGAGACCACTAAGTAAATGATGGTTGGAGGGATCACTCGGTACGGTAGATGCATGCTGAAAGTAGAGTATGAACCAAACATGATGACTGCTTAGTGGCTATATTGTAAACTATAACAGCCGAAAGGCAGAATGTGTCTGCCACAGAGTCAGGGAATGGGGAAGGGGTGAGGGTAGTGGGACGGACACTGGGAACATTGGTGGTCAAGAGTGGGCACTGGTGGAGGGATGGGTACTTGAACATTGTTTGACTGAAATGTAATCAAGAAAATTTGTAAGTCTGTAAAAATAAAAAGTTTCAGTGAGAAAAGTTTCTGAATATTTAAATTTTCATTTGGTGGAAGCTAGGAAGCACCATAACCTTTGATCTAGTTTATTTATGTTCAAAAATGTTAGTCTAAGATTTACTTTTGACATAGATCTTAAAGGAATATTAAATATGTCAATGTTTATAAATTAGAAATATTTGTATTTTTTTAGTTTATACTGCTATTGATTTGTAGTCAAAGAATATGGCCTTTTAACTTTATGTTAGACAATAAATTACTCAAGCTTGTGCTTTGCCTATGTCTGTATATATAGTTTCACGTAATGCATCACTATTAATTATTTTAGATTACCTTATCACAGATCACATTATTGTGTCTTTATGGTAGAGATATTGAAAAACATGACAGGGATAAAATAAAACACTTTTAATTATTAAGAAAAATGATGCTGAGGGGAAATTATTGTCTTGGTCCCCTGAGCACTACCAGGCTGATTCCTGAGCACAGATACAGGAGTGAATCATGAGCCCAGTTGGGTGTACCCCCCTCCCCATAAAAAATAAAATGATGCTAAGTATGTAAGTTACTTAATTTAAATTACAGTCATTCGAGGAAGACTTCATGCTCACTTTATAGATGAGGAAAATTGTGCTTATTGAACTTCAACAGCTTGTCTGAGATCAATTTCTGCAAAGTGCAAGAGTAGGAAAGAACCCCAGGGACTTTAAGAGCACGTACAGATGGTGACTGGAATTCATGTTCTCTGTTGATAAGTGCAGCAAAAGATAGATTTGATGTAGACTTAACTGGTTAAGGTTGTAACTATTAATTAATAGCAGATTTTACACACACACACACACACACACACACACAGAGCAATGCAAATCAATTACTCAAGTCCAGAGCTGGGGTCTGGAGGAGAATAGCCAAGGCCAGGACCACTGCTCTCTGTCCCGTGGCCTAGATTTGGATGGAGAGATCTCGCTAGGCCAGGCCTCTCAAGCGGTTATTTTTCAGCCTGG